ACTGTCGTTTTTTTTTTCGGGTCAAAATTTTGAATTTTGATATCTCAGCTCTGGAAGGGTCTAGATCATCCATTTTTGCACTCAGGTCAAAGTCTTGTGGCCATCTATCAGAATCCAGAGTTTTGAGAAGATTGGAGAAACTTAATTTTTCGCCCAAAAATGGAAAAAAACGAAAGGGGTAACACTGTCGTTTTTTTTTCGGGTCGAAATTTTGAATTTTGATATCTCAGCTCTGGAAGGGTCTAGATCATCCATTTTTGCACTCAGGTCAAAGTCTCACAGCCCTCTATCATAATCCAGAGTTTTGAGAAGATTGAAGAAACTTAATTTTTCGCCCAAAAATGGAAAAAAACGAAAGGGGTAACACTGTCGTTTTTTTTTCGGGTCAAAATTTTGAATTTTGATATCTCAGCTCTGGAAGGGTCTAGATCATCCATTTTTGCACTCAGGTCAAAGTCTTGTGGCCCTCTATCAGAATCCAGAGTTTTGAGAAGATTGGAGAAACTTAATTTTTCGCCCAAAAATGGAAAAAAACGAAAGGGGTAACACTGTCGTTTTTTTTTCGGGTCAAAATTTTGAATTTTGATATCTCAGCTCTGGAAGGGTCTAGATCATCCATTTTTGCACTCAGGTCAAAGTCTTGTGGCCCTCTATCAGAATCCAGAGTTTTGAGAAGATTGGAGAAACTTAATTTTTCGCCCAAAAATGGAAAAAAACGAAAGGGGTAACACTGTCGTTTTTTTTTCGGGTCGAAATTTTGAATTTTGATATCTCAGCTCTGGAAGGGTCTAGATCATCCATTTTTGCACTCAGGTCAAAGTCTTGTGGCCCTCTATCAGAATCCAGAGTTTTGAGAAGATTGGAGAAACTTAATTTTTCGCCCAAAAATGGAAAAAAACGAAAGGGGTAACACTGTCGTTTTTTTTTCGGGTCGAAATTTTGAATTTTGATATCTCAGCTCTGGAAGGGTCTAGATCATCCATTTTTGCACTCAGGTCAAAGTCTTGTGGCCATCTATCAGAATCCAGAGTTTTGAGAAGATTGGAGAAACTTAATTTTTCGCCCAAAAATGGAAAAAAACGAAAGGGGTAACACTGTCGTTTTTTTTTTTTCAGGTCGAAATTTTGAATTTTGATATCTCAGCTCTGGAAGGGTCTAGATCATCCATTTTTGCACTCAGGTCAAAGTCTCACAGCCCTCTATCATAATCCAGAGTTTTGAGAAGATTGAAGAAACTTAATTTTTCGCCCAAAAATGGAAAAAAACGAAAGGGGTAACACTGTCGTTTTTTTTTTCGGGTCAAAATTTTGAATTTTGATATCTCAGCTCTGGAAGGGTCTAGATCATCCATTTTTGCACTCAGGTCAAAGTCTTTTGGCCCTCTATCAGAATCCAGAGTTTTGAGAAGATTGGAGAAACTTAATTTTTCGCCCAAAAATGGAAAAAAACGAAAGGGGTAACACTGTCGTTTTTTTTTTCGGGTCAAAATTTTGAATTTTGATATCTCAGCTCTGGAAGGGTCTAGATCATCCATTTTTGCACTCAGGTCAAAGTCTTGTGGCCATCTATCAGAATCCAGAGTTTTGAGAAGATTGAAGAAACTTAATTTTTTGCCCGAAAATGAAAAAAAACGAAAGGGGTAACACTGTCGTTTTTTTTTCGGGTCGAAATTTTGAATTTTGATATCTCAGCTCTGGAAGGGTCTAGATCATCCATTTTTGCACTCAGGTCAAAGTCTTGTGGCCCTCTATCAGAATCCAGAGTTTTGAGAAGATTGGAGAAACTTAATTTTTCGCCCAAAAATGGAAAAAAACGAAAGGGGTACCACTGTGGTTTTTTTTTGGGGTCGAAATTTTGAATTTTGATATCTCAGCTCTGGAAGGGTCTAAAGCCTCCATTTTTGCACTCAGGTCAAAGTCTTGTGGCCATCTATCAGAATCCAGAGTTTTGAGAAGATTGAAGACACTTAATTTTTCGCCCAAAAATGGAAAAAAACGAAAGGGGTAACACTGTCGTTTTTTTTTTTCGGATCGAAATTTTGAATTTTGATATCTCAGCTCTGGAAGGGTCTAGATCATCCATTTTTGCACTCAGGTCTAAGTCTCATGGCCCTCTATCAGAATCCAGAGTGCAAAACGACATAGGGAATAAGGGAACACTGATACATCACTTCACAGGATGTCAGTGAAGTCCATTTCAACTGATATACCGTGTTCAGGGAGTAGGGAGCAGTGAACACTTGTGTAGGGACCCTGTTGAATGGAACGCAACCTAGGTGCAGGTCCTCCATGTGGTCAGGATCCGGCTGACTGCAACATGTGTTGTGATCATGTCTATGTGCAGGTCCTCCATCTGGTCTGGATATGGCCTCGATCCGGCTGACTGCAACATGCGTTGTGGTCGTGTATAAGCGCAGGTCCTCCATCAGGTCTAATCAGCAATATTTAAAAATGTATACAATGTTTAATAGGGATGTTGACAGAACCGGGCTAATATGGTCATACTTTCTAGTTGTAGTAAGAACTCGAGCTGTTGTGTTTTGCACCAGCTGTAGTTTATTGTGTTGTTTATTATGCATACAGCAGGGCAACCACCCATACAAGCATTGCAATAATCTAGCCTTGAAGCTTTTCAGCTTTTGAATTTGTCAGATTTTCATGTATTATTAAAACAAATATTCATGAACTCATGATGTGCAAAATAGAGTATACTAGCAAATTCATGTTTAATGCAACAGCTGATCGAAACCCGTTTTGATTGATTATGATAGCTAGAGGGGAGAAATTAAAAAGTCAGAAGGATGCAAGGAAACAAATCAATCTCCACCCATCCCTTGCAGAAGTTGTTGCATAGCTGTGCGTAAGTGTTATATAAAACATTTTTGCATTGATTTTAAACATTCTGTAATGTCAGCCAGCAGAGCTCAGAGACCTCAAGAATTAAGTTAATCATTTATACACCCATAACACACATTCCTTATTGACAAAAGTGTTTATAACTATTTTAGCCTCTGCGAATTTTATTGTATTTTTTTGTATCTTTGTATATTTTAAACTTTCATGTGATTTGAGTATGTAATTTATTTGAGAATGCTGTCACCGAGTGAACATGCTAGGAACCAAAAAAATATTGTTGATTCGTTTCCAGGGCGAAGAAATGCCGGTGTAACATCGGGCCGGCTTTGAGTAAACCATAGACATAATAAATACATAGACGCCCTATGGGCTATATGCACGCATAAGTTCCGCATTTGACGCAAGGATGCTCGTCCATTTCCGGTTGTGGAGATTTAAGCGGAGGAGAACCGAGGAAAACGGGATTATGGCCGAGTCTTCAAAATTTACTGTCCTCCCGTCTTTGAAACGAAACGTACATACGTTTAGATGTAATTTTATATATAGTTATGTTTATTTAATATAATTTTAAAAAGAAGCATAAACACAACGGGGGGTGTCTGTTTTATCTGTTTTTGTGACTAACGTTTCTTTAGTATAACCATGGAGTATAAAATTCAATATAATTTCTCAGTATTGCATTGGACTCTACGATTGGCGGAAGTTATCGAGCATCCTTACACCTTCACCGGAAATACCGCCGTGCATAGAGCCCATTGGCCGCTGGAGCGTATGTCAACGGCGCCGCCATATTGGGGAGAGCAAGTTTCCCATACCTCTCATACCGGGAATTTAGAAAAATGCCTGTTTTGTGCGCTGCTTGGGGCTGGACAAATCGCCACACAACTGAAAACAGCTTTCGAGGAAGTACCTTTCACAAGCAAGACTGAACGTTTGTTTTTGGTTGTATTTGGTCATGATTTAATTAGTAATAGTAACGTTTAGAGGTTAAATACTACTGTTATTGTGTCACGAAATGTAGTTTTAATAGTTTTTCAGTTGACAATGTAGTTGTTTAAAGCTCAAATATGTGGTTTGTTTATAAAGATTTAACCACACCATATTTTATTAGGATTTCATTGTTATTTCTGTCGACCTCTGTCTTTAACGTTAAGATACTCATGTATATCTCATGTGGTCAAGTTGTACAATTTCACCTGGTTTATAATGTCTCACTAGGCAAACATCTGTTTTGACCTTCCTTGCCTGTGCCCATTGATGTGATCTTCTGCCCATTTGAAATCTAACTGAAGGAGGTATTTTTTTTTTTTTTGTATGTTTGTTTGGTTCCGTCCTGTGATTGTATTGTCTATTTGTCTGAAAAATTGAAAATGTACAATAAATATAATAAAAAAAAATAAATAAATAAATAAACTTAATAAAAATTTTACCTTTTAATTCCACTTCTGTCGTCCGCTTCTTGGTGTCTGCTCCTCCAGAGTGTGGTAAACAAATCCTTGGCATTAACCCTGGTGACAATGCGAACGAGAATTTTTTTTTATATATATATATATATATAATGTTTAATAGATCGTGCTCCTAAAAAGGCTGCATATTTGACAGATGTGATCACAAGCACAAAGATGTTTTTGTGACCGGAGGGAAAATGATGACAAAGCTTGCTTTTCTGCACAAAAAATTGCTTTTACTTTCTCTAAAAAAAAAATAAAGTGCTAAAATCCTTGAGTTTGATAAGTTCAGACTCAAACATCATTATATTGTGGATTTGAGGCATGTCTAAGGTCTTTTCAGTGTATTGAATGGAGCCATTGTCCTCTACTGATGTTCTTTGAGTCATTCTCCTGCTGTCTAAAAGCTATTCTGCTGATTTTCAGAGACTATTAGAGATAAATGTTCCCTCCTGAGAGTCTCTCTTTATGAAACCCCACTCTCGTCTCTTCCAACCAGTCATTAGTCCCTTTGAAATGTCAAATCCACAGTGAGATTATCACACAGATGTGTGAGTGCTGACTGAGAACAAGTCATCTGGAAGGTGAAGGTTACAGGAATAGTTCACCTAAAACGAATCGCCCTCAATCCCATAAAACAGCCCAGTTTCCTCCACTAGGATTTTGTGAAGCATGACAACAGACACAATGGTAGTGTGGTACTGTGAAAAATATTTTTATTGCCATTTCATACGGTCAAATCAATTGAACAAGTAGCCGATTTTCATCTTCGATAACTTGAGTTTCGTACTGTTTGTCTGCCGTAGAACTCAAACTCTCGGCGCCTGATCTGAGGTGTATGTTGCATGTCTTGTCTTCCTATATCGTAACGTGTTGAAGCCGGCCAGCGTCTCTCATCTCCTGTTTTGTGCGGTCAGGTGCAGACGCAGGTGTTTAGTGAAGTCCGCTTGTGCTCGAGGAAGAGCCTTGTTCACTAGTGACTGTGGCAGCCAACCCTGAAAATACAAGGACACATTCAACACATCTGATACACTTCAACACAATAATAAACACTGTTGGCAATAAAATTCGACGTGGATCAGTCTGAATAAGTTATGTATACAAAATTACAAAGTATAATCGCTGTGTAAATGCATTCTTTGAACAGTATTTTTAAAGACACATAAATGCCATTCAGAAGTGCTTCTGTGCCACTTTGCAGTGTAAATTTGCACAGTTGTATGTAAATAGCCTATAATGGCTGCAAAATTACAAAATTTGTAATGATTATTAATGTTGAATAAAATACATAAACATGTTTTTGTGTGTGGGGAAACGGCTTGTCATACAGACAAAACAAGCTAAGAGTCGATATGGATATTTTAGTAGCATGAAAAACAAAATGGTTATTAAAGCTTCTGCAAAAAAAAAAAAAAAACAATTTACAGAAAGTGAGTGAAAAAAGTTACATCGTATCTGCGCTTTCTCATTGAAACAGTTCAGATTCAGTGTTTTCAGCGGTGAGTAATCTAAATGCCTCTGATTGTCCACTGCATTCATTAACTCAACAGAAACGTATGTGATTGGTTAAAGGAGCAGTGGCTCCTCCAGAAATTTTTCGTAGGGGTGGCCAGATGGGGCCAGTTAAAATCTTGGGGTGGCACACCAAAACTACAGTATAAACCATAATTTCAGAATTGTTTTCTACTGTTGTAATAAACCAGCCTGTAGAAAACTATCAGAAAGACTTAAGGAAACTCCTACTGATATACTTTGGTTTATTGTGTAATATTTAATGTTACTAATGATATTAGTAGGGCCCAACTAATATATATTACATTGTATATAATGATATATATTATATGATATATAAGGGTCCTTGCCCCACAGCAAATTTCCAGATACTTACATAATTGTGATGAATTTAATCATGTTTAAGTTATTAGTTTGCAGTGTAAGATTACAGTTAACACCTTTAAATATTACATAAATGTATTATGAATTTAATACACTTAATGAGTGTATACATCAGCAGCAAAAAGTTATTCTTGAAAAAATCTGCACAGTAATTTTATAAAATCTAAATATGTTAATAAAAAAATTACTATTAGTTCTCTTTTAAAATTCAATCAGGCAATCATGTCACAATTTTATATTTATATATTAATGTCAAGAATTCAGAAGTGCATAGCCTAAACTACAAATAAATTATATATAATTAAATTATGCTTATTTAAAATGTATTGAGCAGGCTAGGTATAACAAAATATATTGGCTTTTAATAATATTTCAGTGCGCAAACCCATGATTACATGAAAAACAGAGAGCACACAGCGTGTATGCGCATCGCGGGTGCAGAATGATGTGCTCAAAGCAACATGGAGTCACAGTGTGCAGCAGCACTGCGCTTCATAAGTGTGCATTTAAAAGCTCATGTCACAAATCGAAGAAATGTTGAGCGCACAAAATAATCCTAGTGCGATTTGTTCCTTTGTTTCACAGTTATTGTGCGTTTGATGCCGATTCATAAATATGTATGTGTGATCAAACAGAACACGCGTGAGTCGTTTAAAAACAGCAACAAACTCCAAGAAAATAAAGTAATTTTATGCGAATATACAGACTTTTATCTACAGATCATGCATTTATAATGTCAATATATCATATTGGAGAGAGTTTTACCGTGCATCCAAGAGGCGCGCGTGCTGTTTGAATATGAATGGAGAATGATGACAGCCGCAGAGGAGGGAAAACGAGTTTATACTTTAATGATGTAAATATACTTTTGTCCCTCACATTAAGCTATGGAATAACTTCAGATGACTTTGTCACCCAAACTGACGTGAAAAAAGCGGGAGGCGCCGAAAAGCGCGCTGTTTGCATCCCTGCCTGTCCAAACGTGGCAAAAACACACCTAAAAGCTGCTGTAACAGTATACCATTTGGCACTTAAAAAGCACTTCACGACACATAATTCCCCGTCTTCTTTTACTTAAGAATATTTTTGACTTATTTATAAAATGCATAACTGATGCTACAAAAATTAATACTGGCCATTGGGGTGGCCAATGGGGTGGCCAGGAGTCGGCCAGGGGTGGCCATGGCCACCCCTGGCCACCCCCTGGTGGCGCCATTGTAAAGGAGTAGTTCACTTTTAAAAAACTTTTACTCGCCACCATGTCATCCGAGATGTCCACGTTTTTCTTTCTTCAGTCGAAAAGAAATGAAGGTTTTTGATGGATCTTTTCCCGAGTCAACTCGTTCATTTTGTTCGTTGAATTAACCAAATGACTCAAAAAAAGATTCGTTCGTTTTGATGAACAGGAGAGTCACAAACGCGCATCACAAAACAGAGCAAGGTGAACCATTGTGCTTTTAAAACTTAAACTTTTCTATTTATTTTGAAATGAGTGATTGTTTCGCTAGATAAGACCCTTATTCATCGCCTGGTGTCGTTTAAAGCCCTTTGAAGCTGCACTGAAACTCTCATTTGGACCTTGAGCCGTTTGGACCCCATTGAAGTCCATTATATGCAGAAAATCCTGGAATGTTTTCATCAAAAACCTTCATTTCTTTTCAACTGAAGAAAGAAAGACGTGGACATCTTGGATGACACGGGGGCGAGTAAATTATTAGCAAAATGCTTAATGCTGGGGAAAAAACATGTAAAATGAAATCTGATGCAAGTTGACAGATCTAAATGCAATGGCGAAACAGATTTTGTTTAATTGTGCAGGGTTATGTTTTGCTAGCCTGGTTCAACCAGACACTAGTTCATTTCATTTCCACATAGAGTCTGGAACCGCTCCATTGAAAAACGTTTCCTTCCTTGTAGGCGGGTTCACTATTAAAGTTCAAATCTATTGGATCTGCCCAAAGTCACTCACGATCTGCCATAGCCAATCGCTAACGTGTGGTCGTGAGTGACGTATGTCACGCGCCGAAATGGCTGGAAACAAAAAGTCCGAATGATCAGAGGATTATGTTTACAATAGGATTTCAGTCAACGAGCGCCGCAGGTTTTGTTAATCTAGGAACAATTATTAATTCGAAATGTATATTTGACACGAAGGACAGTGATATATTCATTCAATGGTGGAAGCTGCGTCTAATCATTACAAATACGCCGCTGTGGTCGTTTTCTGATCTGCCGCAAATGCTGTAGCAGCTACAGTGAATGATCAGTCTGTCTCTATCTGCAGATGTGTAATAAACAACAATTTTTCATATTACGTCTTATTGTTTCTTAATTACCTTAATTATGGTCTTCAAAGTATGTGTTTGTACATTTTTATGTGGCATTTATTCTTTTTAGTGAAACAAATCAACCATTGCCATCTAAAACTGAAAATCAAATATCTTCAAAGTATGGTTTTTCACATTTTTATTTAAGACAATTATTTTTTTTTAAATCACAACCAATTTGTATGATTTACAACATGTAAAACTGACACACCAACCTCCTGCACGAGTGCACAAAGGGGCTCAAAATGTTCTATTCATCACAAGAATCAGTAAATATACAGTTGGGAATATGAGCGACTGACATGATGACTCCTGAGCGGATCTTCAACAATAGTTTAGCAGCCAGGACTCGGGGCTTCCGAACACCGCGAACACCAGGCTAAACCGTCCGTCCAAAATGTCACGGTCATCGTGCACGAACTGCCCAGCACAAACTTCCAAACTTTCTGCCTCCTTCACTTGGTCCTCAGTTGTGCAACAAGAGGTTAGACGATAACAATCCGGCTTTAAATTCTATATATTCGGCCGTTTCTTTTCCAACAACGGACCGAATAGCTTTTCTTACGTCTTTCTCCGCTGCCATTTCTGAACTCAAACTGTAACTGACGCGCTTACATCAACGTCATCTTTCTCAGCCACTCCCTCTATTCGCTGATTGGTCCTACAAAAAATTGGTTTCTGGAAACCTAAGGATATGGAGCGATCCCAGACGTAGTACAGAAGTAAAATGAAATTGAGCGGAAGTGCGTAGGAGGGCGCAGTCAGGCTAATGTTTTGCACCCTTCTCTGATCTTTAAGTTCATTTTGGTGGCCTTTTTTTGCCCCAAGCTCCCGTTCATTTCCAACCCTGTAATTCACACACGTTTTGTACCTTGACATCCATGTTGAGCAGCCAGATGAAGTGAGTCCGCTCTGGATGATCCTGAAGCGGCTGGAGGATGATGCAGGTGGGTCCGTCCTCAGCCCTAAACAACACACACTCACAGAATGACTGAGAGAAAACACTTTCAGATTGTGTACTGTTATAGTGACTCCGAATTACAACTTAAATAAAAGGAATTGTTAAAATCCTGTCATCAGTTACTCATCCTCTCAACTAACATCATCTGCAGTCACTTAAGGGCTTAGACCCAAATCTGGCTATGAAAGCAAAACCATTTATTTTACATACTGTGAAGCTGCTTTGATACAATCTGTATTGTGAAAAGCGCTATATAAATAAATGTGACTTGACTTGACATGCATTGGTCAATTTTGCTTTAGTAATGTCTTTTTTGGACAGAAAATATCCAAAATGCGCATTTAAGTGTTTACTTTATTTTATAACACACTATCTGTTTTAATCTGAACTTCAGCAGCTTTAAATACAACAAACTTTACTACTACTTTTACTTTTATTTACTATTACTATTTACTACTTTATTCCTATATATATATATATATATATATATATATTCTGAAGGTTTTAACAGAGGTTTTGTTCATTCATCATTTGGCTGATATTATACATATTCACACCGACATTTGAAGCGGATCAAAAAAGTTCATCAAAGTTGTTCTAAGACAAGAACGGCTATTGTTAAAAATTAATGTATAACTTTGATGAAAGGTTTTGATCAAATTCACTTTTTTTGGACAGTTGACTGTATATTATTATTAAAGAGATTTAAATCTTAAACTCTAATATATCAACAAAAATGAAAAACAGCTTTTCAAATGTTCAAATGAGTGTTTTGGAAATGTGAGCAAATATGCGATAATGCCTCATTTGCATACTCAAACATAACATTCCCGAAAACTTGTCAAATAAACAATTTAAATATGTATTAGATAATCATCAGAGTAAACTAATTGTGTGTAAATTTTTTTAACTAGGTGCATTTTTTATATTTTTATTTATGTAATGAGATTTGTTTATGTCTGTGTGTTGTAACTTTGATGTAAAATGTCTATGTAAACTAAGCTGCTTATCTTGGCCAGGACACTCCCGAAAAAGAGATTTTAATCTCAGTGAGAAAAAATAAAGGTATTAATTGTCTTAATGTACCGTGATAAATCAACTGGGAAAATTCGGCGATATCCATTAGTTAAAATGTTTACCCACTTCACCTGTGGTGTCTCGCCTTGAAACAAATCTCAAATTAATCATGACGTTGAAATGGTTTTGCAGGGAAACAGAAGCTCAGACATTTCGTCTAAAATATGATTTGCATTTTACAGAAGACGTCACGTGACCCAGACAGCAACATAGTGCCGGCTCACATCCGTGTGCAATCAACGGGTACCAGATGTGGGCCGGATCTGGGCCGACACTGTTTCTGTCGGGGGAGGGGGACTATTAAGTGGCATCACTTTTTGGCAAAGGCATAATTGAATTAACCCTTTCCGATCTGCGCTGCATTTACCTGACAAACCCCGGCTGAGGCGGCAGGGACTCGAACTGCGTCGCGGCTCCGCCCAAATAAACACGTGACTCGCTCTTCGACGAATGTCTGACGCTCAGGAAATCCCGCTGGCCAATCAGGTTTCCCGCCGTTTCTGCCGACACCTCGTGTGTGACCATGGTGTTCCTCCCCACATGCTTCAGAACCTGCGAAGGACATGTGCTTGTTTAATGGTGCGATTAATCCTTCTGGCAAGTTCGTATTTACAAGTTGCAAAGTCGTATTTACGAGCTGAATGCACATGAACGCCGCCACTATGTCATAACTACGAGTGGGAAGCCCCGATCTTCACGAGTTGTGGTCGTCTCAGTGAGAAACATATGGAATACCGCAATCCTTTCATGAACAAATCTTTTGTCGAGTCATTTGGTTCATTCAATGACTCGAAAAAAGATTTGTTCGTTTTGATTAAATAGTTTGAACAGGAGAGTCACGAACGTGCATTACAGAACAGAACAAGGTGAGCATTTGTGCTTATAAAACTTAAACTTTGCTTGTTTTTTTTTTTTAAACGGCCGCTCGTTTCGCTTGATAAGACCCTTATTCATAGTCTGGTGTCGTTTAAAGCTGCACTGAAACTCTCATTTGGACCTTGAGCCGTTTGGACCCCATTGAAGTCCATTATATGGAGAAAATCCTGGAATGTTTTCATCAAAAACCTTCATTTCTTTTCGACTGAAGAAAGAAAGACGTGGACATCTTGGATGACACGGGGGCGAGTAAATTATCAGCAATTTTTTTTTAAAAAGTGAACTACTCCTTTAAAGCTACACTGTGTAGCTCTTTTAGTTTATTCTTACCTAAAAACACTTGGTTCTTTCAAAAATATATGTGCTCATTAATGTATATTTACTTCGTTGAGTAATGAGTGTATAATATGCCCTTGAAAAGGAGTTCTAATGTCGCTCTCCATCTTGAAAGTACATTAGCCAAAGAGGGACATACCCGTTAATTTAAGCTTCGCCTTTCATGTTTACGTTTGAGTTAACACTCATGGACGAGGTCCAACTGGAAGCCATGTTAATCTTGGACTACATTGGCCACCGTAGGAGTTAAAACAAAATCGGAATTGAGAGGAACAGAAACTAATATTCACTGGATGGTCATATACCTTTTCACCACTAGATGGGGGTAAAAATCACACAGTGTAGCTTTAAGAGTGTTTTTCACACTGAAGGACTGAAGTCTTACTCGGATGCGTCTGATGTTGGGGTTCCACTCATGCATCTCCTCCACTCTGACGAACAAGATGTCGTGAAGTTCCTCTGGAGACGCGTCCAGCTCGGCCTCCAGGCGGAAAACCTTCCTGTTTCCCACGAGCACTTTGCTATAGATCACGTCTCCGTTCTTCTACAGGGCAAAGACGTTCATCGGTCACTGTGAGAACATGTTCTGGCTGACTGCACAACAATTCAAAGACAATCACCTCCGCCATCTCGGGCTTCCATCCATCCTTGGACTCGACGATCTCTAGAGCTTCATTCAGGGCTTCTTCTCCTCGTCTCAGATAAAACACGTCCTCAGACGTCCTGTGCTCGGCTCGGTCTGTCTCTGATCAGTCATGGAGAAAAGGAAGAATACATGTGAGTGATCAGATGCAAGAAGTGATGAAACACTCGAAAAATGTAGTTCTTATTCTTTCAGCAAACTGTTTTCTTTTCTTGTTTGCAGCATAAATAAATTAGATTCATGTAAAAACGCTTATGTTTGGGATGAGTATGATTTTTGTTTTGAAAGTAACATACTTTTATTCAGCAAGGATGAGTTAAATTGATCAAAAGTGACAGGAAAGACATTTATATTAATGTTACAAAAGATTTATTAAATGCTGTTTATATACTTTCTATTCATCAAAGAATCATGAGAAACGGATTGGGTCACAGTTTCCATAAAAATATTTTTCAAAACTGACAACGATTTCTATTTCAAATAAGTGCTATTCTTCACTCTCAGAAAAAAGGTACAAAAAAGCTGTCACTGGGGTTGTACCTTTTCAAAAGGTAAACTTTTGTCCATTTTAGGTGCTAATATGTAAATTTTAGGTGCTAATATGTAAATTTTAGGTGCTAATAAGTACATTTTAGGTGCTAATAAGAGCATTTTAGGTGCTAATAAGTACATTTTAGGTGCTAATAAGTACATTTAGGTACTAATATATACATTTTAGGTACTAATATATACATTTTAGGTGCTAATATGTCCATTTTAGGTGCTGATATGTACATTTTAGGTGCTAATAAGTACATTTTAGGTGCTAATATGTGAATTTTTGGTGCTATTATGTACATTTTAGGTGCTAATATGTAAATTTTAGGTGCTAATATGTACATTTTAGGTACTAATATATACATTTTAGGTGCTAATAAGAGCATTTTAGGTGCTAATAAGTAAATTTTAGGTGCTAATAAGTACATTTAGGTACTAATATATACATTTTAGGTACTAATATATACATTTTAGGTGCTAATAAGTACATTTTAGGTGCTGATATGTACATTTTAGGTTCTAATAAGTACATTTTAGGTGCTAATATGTAAATTTTAGGTGCTAATAAGTAAATTTTAGGTGCTAATAAGTACATTTTAGGTGCTAATAAGTACATTTTAGGTGCTAATATGTACATTTGAGGTACTAATAAATACATTTTAGGTGCTAATATGTCAATTTTAGGTGCTAATATGTACATTTTAGGTGCTAATATGTACATTTGAGGTACTAATAAATACATTTCAGGTGCTAATATGTAAATTTTAGGTGCTAATAAGTACATTTTAGGTGCTAATAAGTACATTTTAGGTGCTAATAAGTACATTTTAGGAGCTAATATGTAAATTTTAGGTGTTAATAAATACATTTTAGGTGCTAATTTGTACATTTTAGGTGCTAATATGTACATTTGAGGTACTAATAAATACATTTCAGGTGCTAATATGTAAATTTTAGGTTCTAATATGTACATTTTAGGTGCTAATATGTACCATTAAGGTACCAATATGCAGCCTTTAGGTACAAAAGTGTATCTTTTGAAAAGGTACAGCCCCAGTGACAGTTTTTGTACCTTTTTTTCTGAGAGTGTTTTGATTTTTTATTTATCAAAGAATGCTGAAATTTAAAGAAAATTTAAGCAAAAATCATAAATTTTTCTTGATCATCAGATCCTCATAGTAGAGTGATTTGTGAAGGGTCATGTGACACTGAAGACTGGAGTAATGATGTGGAAAATTCAGCTTTGATCACAGGAATAAATAAAACAGCTATTATAAATTGTAAAATAATAAAATAAAAAAAAATCACAATTTGACTGTATTTCTGACTAAATAAAAATGTAGCCTTGGTGCAGCAGAAGAGACGTCTTTCAAAACCTTCTTTAGGTGAATATGCACAGACTCACTGTTCTCCTCCTCCGGGTGTCGAGTCCATCTCGGGCTCCATGCGGGACGGCTCTGCAAGTGCAGCGAGATCTCCTGGCCGAACGCTGCGAGAGCTGCACGCTGCAGACCTGAGGACACACACACACTGCATTTACATCCATGACTTTAGCAGACGCTTTTATCCAAAGCCATTTAAGATACACATTTACATTCTTATCAGTAATTGCATTCCCTGGGAATTGAACCCATGATGACCTTGGCGTTGCAAGCACCAACACTCTACTGTTTGAGCTCCAGGAAAGGGTTTCACTTTATTTAACACTCAAAAAATTAGAATATCATGGTGCAAACAATCATTTATTTCAGTTATTCAACTTAAAACGTTAAACTAACATGGATTACATGCAAAGTGAGATATTTCAAGCCTTTATTTGAGAATTTTTATGATTATGGCTCACAGATATGAAAACCTTTTCACAATATTCTAATTTTGAATTTGGGGTTTTCATAAGCTTTCATAACTTATAACAAATAAAGGCTTGAAATATCTCACTTTGCATGTAATGAGTCTATATAATATATTAGTTTCACATTTTAAGTTGAATTACTGAAATAAATGAACTTTTGCCCCATCATATTCTAATTTTTCGAGTTACTGTGTAACTCTTTTAGTTTATTCTTAGCTAAAAACACTTAGTTCTTTCAAAAATATATGTGCTCATTAATGTTTATTTACTTCGTTCGAGTAATAAAGTATTCTCGTGAGTGTATAATATGCCATTGAAAACACATACGGGTAAGGGGTTCTAATGTCGCTCTCCATCTTGAAAGTACATTAGCCAAAGAGGGACATACCCGTTAATTCAAGCTTCGCCGTTCGCGTTTACGTTTGAGTTAACACTCATGGACGAGGTCCAACTGGAAGCCATGTTAATCTTGGACTACATTGGCCACCGTAGAAGTTAAAACAAAATCGGAATTGAGAGGAACAGAAACTAATATTCACTGGATGGTCATATACCTTTTCACCACTAGATGGGGGTAAAAATCACACACATATTCATTACTTCACTGAGCTCATTGTTTCTGCAATAAATTATTAAATTGTTCTGTAAAGCTGCTTTAAAATAATGTGTATTGTGAAAAGCGCTATACAAATACATGTGAATTGCATATTTCGATGGTCCCTTTAACACATTCTGGTGACTATAAGTAACGCTGCACCTTCATGTCTATATCCCTCATTACTTTAGAGTGTTAGTAAAGTATTAGTAGACTGGTAGGGTTAGAATAAGCTGACATGATGTAGTTGCAGTTGAGGAGCATCACAATAAAGTTAGCCGATATTAACCAGACTGTCTACTAATGACATGTAGTTGCAAAGTTACTGATAGTTAGAAAAATGGACCATCAAAATAAAGTGTTACTAAAGAATAAACACAGTACAGAGAAGCTCATGCACATGCAGAGGTGGAGTACCTGCCATGCTTCGTACATGTGGATACGAGATCCCACAGCAGAGCTTCAGGACGGCCCGCTGCATGTTCACTCGCTCCCGCCGGGATAGCGGAGAGGAGGAGGACGACACACAGCTTTATAGAGCCGGTGAAGGACGCAGCACAAGATAACGGCTGCAGCTACAAGATACTGCCGGGGTCGGTTCACGGCCATTCCAGAGGAAGAAGATCCAGCTTTTCTGTTGGAGATCCATCCTCCTGTAGCTGAGAGGAACAGATCAGTCAGAAATCACAATGCCGCCTCGGTCATGTCTTTACCAGTCGAGTGAAGTTAATCGATACGTGTTAAAGTTCAGATAGACATTGAAATTAGTTAGACAGTTAGTTGGTTGGTAACACTTTACAATAAGGTCTCTTTTGTTAACATTAATTGGTTGTTTGATTGGTAACCCTTTACAATATTTGAGTTGGTTAGTAATACTTAACAATATACGTGTTAGTTAGTTGGTTAGCTGTTTGGTAACATATTACAATAAGTTAGTTGGTTGGTTGTTTGGTAATACTTAATATTTGTGTTAGTAGGTTAGTTAGTTAGTTAGTTAGTTAGTTAGTTAGTTAGTTAGTTAGTTAGTTAGTTATACCTTTATTGTCATTGCATGGTTTATACAACGAAATTTGACATGTCTCCAAGAAAACAACAACTGTATTCATCCATAAAAAAATAATTTAAAACAATAAAAAAAAAAACCTTAAGTGACTTGTGCAAGTTATTTGAACAGTATTGCATAGTTAGTTAGTTGGTTGGTTGGTTAGCTGTTTTGGTAACACTACAATACGTTAGTTGTTTGGTAATCCTGAACAATATCTGTGTTAATTAGTTAGTTGGTTTGCTGGTTGGTTAGTTGGTTAGCTGTTTGGTTAGTTGGTTGGTTGGTTGGTAATACTTAATATTTGTGTTAGTAAGTTAGTTAGTTAGTTATACCTTTAATGTCATTACATGGTTTATACAACGGAATTTGACATGTCTCCAAGAAAACAACAACTGTATTCATCCATAAAAAAATAATAATTTAAAACAATAAAAAAAAAACCTTAAGTGACTTGTGCAAGTTATTTGAACAGTATTGCATAGTTAGTTGGTTGGTTGGTTAGCTGTTTTGGTAACACTACAATAAGTTAGTTGTTTGGTAATCTTGAACAATATCTGTGTTAATTAGTTAGTTGGTTTGCTGGTTGGTTAGCTGTTTGGTAACACTTTACAATTAGTTAGTTGGTTGGTTGGTAATACTTAACAATATTTGTGTTAGTCTAGTTAGGTGGTTGGTTGGTTAGCTGTTTTGGTAACACTTTACAATAAGTTAGTTGTTTGGTAATCCTGAACAATATCTGTGTTAATTAGTTAGTTGGTTTGCTGGTTGGTTAGTTGGTTAGCTGTTTGGTAACACTTTACAATTAGTTAGTTGGTTGGTTGGTAATACTTAATATTTGTGTTAGTAAGTTAGTTAGTTAGTTATATCTTTAATGTCATTACATGGTTTATACAACGGAATTTGACATGTCTCCAAGAAAACAACAATTGTATTCATCCATAAAATAATAATAATTAAAAAAAAAAAGAAATAAAGAAAAAAAAGATAGCTTAATGTCTTAAGTGACTTGTGCAAGTTATTTGAACAGTATTGCATAGTTAGTTGGTTGGTTGGTTGGTTGGTTGGTTGGTTAGTTGGTTAGCTGTTTTGGTAACACTACAATAATTTAGTTGTTTGGTAATCCTAAACAATATCTGTGTTAATTAGTTAGTTTGTTTGCTGGTTGGTTAGTTGGTTAGCTGTTTTGGTAACACTACAATAATTTAGTTGTTTGGTAATCCTGAACAATATCTGTGTTAATTAGTTAGTTGGTTTGCTGGTTGGTTAGCTGTTTGGTAACACTTTACAATTAGTTAGTTGGTTGGTTGGTAATACTTAACAATATTTGTGTTAGTCTAGTTAGGTGGTTGGTTGGTTAGCTGTTTTGGTAGCACTTTACAATAAGTTAGTTGTTTGGTAATCCTGAACAATATCTGTGTTAATTAGTTAGTTGGTTTGCTGGTTGGTTAGTTGGTTAGCTGTTTGGTAACACTTTACAATTAGTTAGTTGGTTGGTTGGTAATACTTAACAATATTTGTGCTAGTTTAGTTAGGTGGTTGGTTGGTTGGTTGGCTGGTTAGCTGTTTAACACTTTACAATAAGTTAGCTAGTTATTTGGTAATACTTAATATATGTGTTAATTAGTTGGTTGGTTAGCTGTTTTGGTAACACTTTACAAAAAGTTAGTTAGTTGGTTTGTTGGGAATACTTAACAATATTTGTGTTAGTTAGGTAGTTGGTTGGTTGGTTAGCTGTTTTGGTAACACTTTACAATAAGTTAGTTGGTTAGTTGTTTGGTAATACTTATTTGTGTTACTTGGTTAGTTAGTAACCATTTTACAATATTTTAGTTAGTTCATTAGTAACCCTTTATCAATATTTTAGTTAGTTAGTTAGCGACCATGCTAGCTAGTTACCATGAACTAACAACGATCAATACTTCTACAGCATTTATTAATCTAAATGTATAGTTTCAGAATTTACTAGTGCAAAACTAAACAAAACAAAAAAAAAACGAGTCATAGTCATGCTTTTCCAAGTCTTTCCAAAGTCAATGAATTGTTAACTGAAGTCAGAAATTATGTTTTAGTGCAATGTCAGTGATTTACTAGTTTGGTAACCCTTAACAATAAAGATATTACTTAACATTACCTAACACTGATCAATTCTTCTGCAGTATTTATTAATCTTAGTTAATGCATAGTTTCAGCATTTACTAATACATTTTGTAGAGCAAAATGACAATTCTGTCTTTCCAAGTCTTTTTGAAGTCATTTAATTCTATTTCGTTAGTTAAAAACAGTCAGTCGTTTGGAAACACTTTACAATAAGGTTTCATTTCTTACCATCAGTTATTGACATTAGTTAACTCAAACTAACAATAAGCAGTACTTCTAAAGCATTTATTAATCTTGGTTAATTTTTTTAATCAAAAGTTGTAAACATCAGTTAATGCACTGTGAACTAAAATGAACAAACCGCTGTTTTAATCAGTATTAACGAAGGTTAATAAATGTTAAACACATCTTGCTCATTGCAAGTTCATGTTAGTTAGTGCATTAAATAATGACAACAAACGAGACCTTGTTGTAAGTGTTAGCATTTGTTCTCATATTCTCTCCTAAACACCACCAGAAGATTATTTATACATATTTACAGATCTTTTCTCTCCAAGGTGTTTAAAGCTTTAATATCCAGCATATCTATAGCAGTGAGAGATCAGCAGAACGACCCTAACACTGACCTTGACCTCTGTTAAACCCTGAGAGAAACCTTCACCCCGAATAACATCCACACCTCTGCATGCCAGCCAGCAGAAACACACTCAACATCACACAACTGCACACACACTCACTCGTGTGAAACATGCAGGATTTCTTTCATCTGTTTGCATTGAGAAACATCAAGCACCAGATGCACCTGAAATCCTCACCCTCAAATTAAAGACTGAAATTATCAATTAGGCAGAATTAATTCAGTTTAGAAAAAAAACATTGTGCAAATGAGGTCTATTACAGCAGAGAAATTACTTTTTTGAACAAATTTTCCTGAAGCCAATCAGTCTGTCCTGAGGGTATCAGCAGAAATCTCCAGCTCAGAGGATAATAATAGTGTTTTTGATTTAATATTCCATACATTTTATGGATTTGACTGCACTGACACTATCAGATGAGAAGAACACTTAAAATGATTTGCACTGAATCGTCGTCTTCGAATTAGTCTCATAATTGAAGTTTGCAACATGATGTTGAACTGAATTGAATTAGCATTGAACTGACTTGAGCTGAATAATGTTACTTGCACTGCTTTACTGCTGAAATTAATTGTTAATAATTGTTATTTCCTTGTTTCAGTAAGTTTTGAAACTCTCTGTATTGTATGAAGCACTGTAGAAATAAATAACCTGAATAAATCTGATCTGACCTGTTTCATGCATTAATGACAGATAGTAAATGTTAAAACTGTATAATCCAATTTTATTTGCCATTCAATCACTTTTCATCTTCATTAAGCCTTAAATATTTAAGTAAAGTAAGAGAAAATAAAATCATGTTATGAAATTACGATAAAGCTTACTGTCTGAACCTGATAAGCATGAAGTCTGTAACTGCTTTTGCAAGAATTTATCTTTCAACTGAATGCTGCGTTTACATCCTGCGTTTAACTGCCTAAATGTCATATTATTTATGAAGAACATTTTCGAGAGAACTCTGAACTCACAACACTTCTGCATTTATAATGCACGCTTTTACCCAAGAGTTTCTCAGCGAGAGTTTCTGGCTCTTTCTACCGCATATCTGCACGGTGGTTTCGCGTGGTTTAATGAGTGTGACGTCATTAAGAGCTCGAGCTCGTCTGATTATCTGGGATGTGCCCATTCAAACTGCGTCCTCTCACACTCTTTCTGAAGCAAAACACATCAGTAAGTGGAAGCGCTGCATTAGAGTCTCTGTATTTGTCCTTACTGACCTCAGACCAGCGGCTGTCCTGTTTAGACCAGTCAAATCACGAGTCGAAACCTCAGGAAGCCTCAAAGGAAACAAGGTCTTTTGTGGTCCAGGATTTCTGCAGAAAAAACAATGATGACAAAAAAGCATCATCATCATCTTCATCATTCGTGACGGTTTAAGTCGCAGCTGATGCATGAAACACATATTTGACCCGTTACATTCGTTTATTCTTCTGTTTCACTGTAAGATTACCATACCATGAAACAATATTATTAAGTTAAATCACTTTCAATCATTGATCTATGGTTAAGATCCTCCTTTCAATATCAAAATTACCTTCCTAGACTTAAACGCTGTCTAGTTTTCGTATAAAATCCACATCGTCTTGGAAGGAAAGTTTATCATCAATGATTGTAACTTACCTGGGTATTTAAAATTTGAGATTTGCTCTTATCTTTACGCCTTTTGGGATGAGAACGGGCTCATTAAACATTTCCCGGTAAATTCAGCATCCTTTTAGGGATTTTCTCTCTCCCAGCTGTATTTTTCACTCGCGAAGCTGTCAACATGGCCGCCACGTGCCAGAATGCAACGCGGCGAAGACCATTTTGCAAGATGTAAACAACACTGGTCCAGAAACACTTCCTGTTTCCGTTTGTAACTGTTTTCTTTATTTCACATGTAAAAAAAAAAAACATCTTAAAGACGTTTGTTTAACTTTTTGATTCAGTTTTATATGTTCTGTTAGTTGTATTTTATCCCAGCTTTTATGTAGTGTTAAAAAACTGAAACAGGAAGTGCTTCTGGACCAGTGTTGTTTACGGTTATTTATTGTACACATACAGTTATAATGCACTTGTTTGTATTTCAGTAATGCTTAATTGTGGTGACCAAGTTTATGGCAGTGAAATAATTAAATACAGTATGTGTTGCACAAAAACATATAGCCATAACTTGCAAATACTGTGGTTTCATTCAAATATACTTATAGTACGATTGTTTTAAACGTGTAAAACTGTGCAGCATTACCCATCATTTGACAAGCAGTCACATTAGTAACATTAAATTTCAAGTTCTTGGCTAATTCACAAAGTTTGATTAAACCTACAGGTAATGAAAATTAATTTATTTCCTCATCTAATCTGTTGACATGATTCGTGAATGGTGAAAACTAAAATCTCCCATCGTCCGACTCTCCTTCAACTCAACCGGCTGCTTCTAATTAATTTATCTACTTTGTTCAGCTCAGAATGCATGGTAAACTAATTAGACTGAAGTTAGTTTCTATTCAGGAAGAAAGGAACTGAATAAAGGGCTTATGCATTTCTGAATTATTACATTTGTCACTTTTTCCACATTTATAATGTTACTTAACTTTTGTGGGTGTTCACAATTTGCACCCTCTCTCCAACCCTTACAATTAAACAGGCTATATTTATTCATGCATGAACTGAAGGTTAAACGTAGGTTTTTCTGCATAACTGTTAATAATGAAGTTGCATCATACAGTATGATGACAGATTCATAAATTAATCAGCACTGAAATGCATCACACAAATTATTCGTTTTGCTTTGCTGTTCAGCAATATATTGCATCTGTTATTATTATTTTGCATTTCCAATCATCCAACAGATGTCGATGGCATGTAAACGCATCGTCTAGGCTCATTTTGAACTGCAGAACATAGTTCCTTACAGCATGTTTTCCTTGTTTTTTGTTCAGGATCAGATTCTCTTGGTTCTATTAATCATTTTTGGACACACTGTAAAAAAATATTGTTGGTTTAACTTAAAAAAGTAAGTAACCTGGGTTGCCTTAAAATTGTAAATTCATTGAACTGGAAAAAGTGAGTTAATACAATGAAGGATTGATTTAATCATCAGAAACTCAAAATTATATGTTATCTGAACTAAATAAATTATTTAAGTTTATTTGACAAAAGAAAAAATGTTGTGATTACTACACTGTAAAAAAAAAATATTGTTGCTTTAACTTAAAAAAGTAAGTAACCTGGTTGCCTTAAAATTTGAAGTTGATTGAACTGGGAAAAAAAAAGTTAATACAGTGAAGGAGATTGATTCAATCATCAGAAACTCAAAATAATAAGTTATCTCAACTAAATAAATTATTATAAAACTTGATTTGATAAAAAAAATATGTTGTGATAACAAATCTAAAAAACAAATTTTTTTACAGTGAAATTATGACAAAGCTGCTTCTGTAGAGTGATTGCAGGTCATGGAGGTTACACATGAAGTGACCTCTAATGTCAATACACCCTAAAGGTCAGATGTCACTCGGAGACCAGCTGTGTGTCGCGAGCTGAAGACAGTGAAGTGTGTGTCTGTTATCAGCGAGCAGGTGTCCTTGAGTGAGGAGGAATGACGCTGAGACTGAACTTCACCTGCTGACCACACACTCAAACACTGGCTGCGCTCCAAACACACACTCCACTGCCTGCACACACCCATCCCCATTAACCTCATTTCTGTGCTGCTTTTTAAACGTTTAACTGTTGCAAACAACATTCCATTCCATCATTCTTCAAACATTAGAGAAACGTTACTTTTGAATGTTCTTTGAACATTCCGAAACAAGTCGTTACATTTAAAAAACGTCAGAGGAATGTCCAACTGAAATCCTTTCCAGGAATGATGTATAACTCATGTTTTTGTGCTTGCAGAATGTTAGTCAAAGTTCCATGTTAGCGGAGTAGATCTAACATGTTTTTAGCAGTTTTTATCTAACAAGCAACAAAAGCACCGTAATGAATGCGAGTGTATTCAACTTGAGCATTATATTCCTGCATTAACTGTTCGATTTTAGAAATCCTGCACCATCTAGGCCTATAGCACCATACCGCTAGTGTACACATGACGTTGTTGCATTTAAATGGAAGACATTTCTTGAGAATAACGCGCACTGGTGAATCGTTTAAAATGTATAGAGTTAAATTTGATTTCATGTATAATTTCCACACTTAATCACCAGTTTTACATGCATCATTCTTTGAAAGAGCGTCGGATATCAAGCAGCAATTAAAGAGCGTTTCACATGCATGCTCTTATTACTGTCGAAACCGTCAGATTTAATCTCGGAGCTCTGGTACTCGGTTCCCCAAGCTTTTTAATGAATGAGCATTACATCACTGCTCAACAGTCCAAATCAGATCTTATTTTCTTCATATTATTTTTAATTTTTGGTTAAAATGTGACCTGACATGTACTTTAGAAATCAGATATTATTTACCATTCTTTGAAAGAGAGTCAATTATACATCGAGCAGTTATTGAAGAGTGTTTGACATGCACATATTAATGTTGCAAGCCTGATGAAACTGACAGGTTGAATCCCTGAGATCTTGGAGTCGGCTCCCTGCAGAAACAGAAGCTTTAAAGTCAGAACAACATAAGCCTGTGGATAGGAAAGGATTTGTGCATGACTCTGAATGACTCTGAATCTGAGAGTGTGTTTAGTGTGTGCACAAGACTTTACATTTAATCATTTAGCAGACGCTTTTATCCACATGAGGAGAGCAATAGATGCAGTTAAACTAACAAAAATGCAGTGCTGTGACCTTCCCAGTTTAGTCTAATCTCTAATATGAAGCCTAATTTTTTTCCCCCTTTTTTAAAAAAATAGAGTAGAAAATAAAGTTAGTATTGATTGATCGAGTGTTGTGGAAGACGTAAACATCATCATTCTGCCACATTTGTCCACACTCTTAGAAGAAATGAAACCAAAAATAGTTCCATCCCCTGCTTCATATATGGAACTCCAAAATGGTTCTATATAGAACCATTTTTTGGGGGTAAAAGATTCTATTGGCCAAGTGTGGAACCCCAGGGTTCTATATAGAACCCAGAGGAACCCTTTTTTAAGAGTGTATAGAACCTTTTAGGGGTTCCAAATACATAGCGCTGATAGAACCTTTTCTTCTAAGAGTGAGATCATTAGATGAGCTGTTAATTATCTGTTAATAAACGAGTTCATTATCTCAGAATTACAAGATAATGTTTCACAAAAAAATTCTTTTGCTCTGTTTTTTCTGAATTTTGAGATAATCAAGTCAGAGCAAAAAAAAATAAATTCCATGAAAAATTATCTAGTAATTCTGAGATAATGAACTCGTTAATTCATAAAAACAGTGCAAAACAAATTTCAATGAAAATGTATCTTGTAATTCTGAGATAATTAACTCGTTAATTCATAAAAACAGTGCAAAACAAATTTCCATGAAAATGTATCTTGTAATTCTGAGATAATTAACTCCTTAATTCATAAAAACAGAGCAAAACTAATTTCCATGAAAATGTATCTTGTAATTCTGAGATAATTAACTCGTTAATTCAGAAAACGGAGTAGATTTTTTTTCTTCAAGTGAATGCAATAAAGTTGCATTGTAGAAATGTAAAGACTTTTTTTGAGCTTATTTTGCCGCAGACACACATGTACTAAAGCATTGGCATGGACTGTAATGTGGGACGGTTTTATTTCTGTGCTGACTCTTGATTTCTTCTCTGATTGCAAATGTGAGTTTAGAAACTGGCAATTCAATTAAAGAAAGAATGAAACCTTCATGCTCCGTGAAGGCGATGCTCACTCCCCCAAAATCACATAAAAACTATCACCTCATTACATAGGGATTTATGATAATTACACACAGTCTCCAATAATGGAACATGAATACAAATGATAGGGTGAAAATGACAGCCCTCCATTACACAGTTCTCATTTCACAATAATATAGCCGGATTGTGCCTTCAGTGATAGTCAATTTGCTTTCAAAGAAAACCGGTTTTCTTATTTTGGCAACAGTGTAACAGAGTTTGTCACCATGGTTACATTTATTGAGAACAAGAAGCAGATCAACAGCAGCTGCTGACTGACTTGCCCGTCATGGGAAATACGACTCGTGTTCACGACATCTCTTGAATATCTCAATTGTTTGTCATGGATAGTGAAGAAAATGTCTGGACTCTCAAATCAAATGTCAACAATATCTGAAACTGTGCTCGGATCAAACATCAGAGATCTTTACATGATGATGTCATTGCCAGACCAATATTGTTTGGACTATGACATGCAGAAATATATCAAAATATGAATATTATTATAGCCTATAAAAATGCATTCACAACATTCTAGAACTCATTGGAATGCAACAGGAGAAATAAAACTTGTTTTCCATGAAATTAAAATTTTTACTCACAGTAACATTAGTCCATTTTGAGTCTCCTAAAGCCATCTCGATTGAAATTCAGGTCACTCAGTGAAAATCCTAGGCTAGGGAAGAAAGTCGTACCTAAAACAGTAGGAGGGCGAGGTTTCAGGTTCAGGTTCAGTAAAGGTGACAGAATTTACATTTTTGGTTGTATTGTTCTTTTAAATTAATGTTGTTGGCTCAAAATAACGTGATTATCAAAGAAAATAATTCCTGGCTTGGCTAACACCAATTTATAAATTGTGATTCAAATAACTCAGTATATGTATTCTAGTAGAAATTGTGAGTGCAGTTAATTTGTGTTAATTTGCTTTTGTTAAATCTTCCATATATACAATATTAATTGAGTTGTAAAGTGTCTAAATCGTTTGATTTGCTGCTCAACTCATGGCATCACACATGAGACGTGACTCCCACAGAAAATAAATTCAACAACCACATACTATGCGAATACCTGTGTACGTATAAGCTTTATTAGCAATAAATGAAAACATTGCATTACACTATGATTATTACAATAATACAACTGCTAAAAGAGCAAGTTTTGTCAGTAACATGACATTAATATGATGTTGTGCTGATGATCGCAGCTGTGTTACGTGTCTTCTGGGTACAGCGTGAGTACTTCTGCCTCTCCGATCCGCTCTAGAACAGAAAGAAATGCTCAGAGAAAATATCATAACATTCTGAGAAGATCATGGTCCGAACATTCTGAAAATTTCCTGAGAACATCATAAAAACATCCTGAAAAATTCAGGGAACATCGCGGAACATTTCGTAAACATCCTAAAACATTCATAGAACATTCTGAAATCCTGAGAACATCCTGAATACATTCTTAGAACATTCAGAAAATATTCTTAGAACATTCTGAAAAATTCAGAGAACATTGTGAAACATTTCGAAAACATCCTAAAAACATTCTTAGAACATTCTGAAAAATCCCGAGAAGATCGCGAAACATTTTCGTAAACATCCTAAAACATTCTTAGACCATTCTGAGAACATTCTGAAAAATTCTGAGAACATCGTGAAACATTTCGAAAACATCCTAAAAACATTCTTAGAACATTCTGAAAAATCCCAAGAACATCCTGAAAACATTCTTAGAACATTCTGAGAAAATTCGTAAAATATTCATAGAACATTCTGAGAACATTCTGAAAAATTCCGAGAACATTGTGAAACATTTAGAAAACATCCTAAAAACATTCTTAGAACATTCTGAGAACATTCTGAAAATATTCTTAGAACATTCTGAGAACATTCTGAAAAATTCCGAGAACATTGTGAAACATTTAGAAAACATCCTAAAACATTCTTAGAACATTCCAAAATGACATCATGACTTTTGCGTAAACATACACGCCACTTTCGAGTCAAGTGGCGTGTTATCACTACGCATTTTGAGCTATCCGTGTGTATCCGCGTGTATCCGCGTGTATGTCTACGCCATTAATGTCCGAGTGATTCCGCATGTATGTATACACCGTCAAATGTCTGAGCGAAACGAAGCAAAATGTAGATCTACATCTGGGGAGTGATCTTTTTTTTCCTAGGATGGTAAGGGAAGACTCATAAATGCCATTAACCCTAGTGACGGGTATGTTTAGGGACGGGGTTGAGGTAAGTCATATATTTATACAGTATATACAGTAATAACGTTAAGTCAACGGCGTTCATAAACACGCTGAAAAGCGATTATGCGTGTTGATAGCGAATTGGCGGAATGGAAATATGAATTGGCGTGTCATACACACGCTACTTCATGAGATCAGTCTGAACATCCTAAAAACATACTTAGAACATTCTGAAAAATTCCGAGAACATTGTGAAACATTTCGTAAACATCCTGACAAATTCAGAGAACATTCTGAGAATAACCATAAAACCATTTTGAAAACATTCTGTGAACAACCTAAGAACAATCTGAAAACTTCCTGAGAACATTTTGAGAGTGAAAACTTTGTGAAAAATTTCAAAAACATCGAACATCCTAACAAATTATGAGAATATCCTGAAAATATTCTTAGAACATTCTGTGATCAATCTTAGAAAATCATAAAAACATTCTAAAAAAAAATTCCAAGAACGAGAACATTCTTACAACATTTTGAGAACATTCTGATAACTTCCAGAGAACATTCTAAAAACATCCTGAAAGTATTGAGAGAACATTCTAAGAATATCCTGAAATCATCCTGAGAGCGTGACGTCCGTGATTTGAGCGTGAGGAAAGTCTGGGCTAATTCGACTCGCGGCCAGTTATCTGTAATATACGTTACTATAGTAACCACAGACAGAAGCGCTCGACTCGGCTTGTTTACCAGCGTCTGACCTCTGTGTGTGATGGACGATGTTTACTTGATTCCAGCTTCTTTTACAACTAAGTTATATTCAAAACATCTTATTTATCATGAAATAATATCATATACAGACTCTGTTTTTAACATCAGACAAGTTCTCTCTACAAGGTGAACTGCACTTCACTTCAAATTATATCACAGCCATCCTTTACTGTTTGATATTGCTAATTATTCTAGACTAATGTGTCTGCTTTAGGAGTACACTGGCATATATGTCAACCACCAAAACAAGCCACTTGTTTTGAACCAGTTGTTGACTATGGCTACACAAGGTCTCTGTTCCAAAACATGCGTCATTAAATCCGTCCAATTAAAAATGGATTTTACCCACATTTTGGCTCCTGCTTCAATGCTTATTAGAATATTATCTGTTAAGAGGACAGAACCATAATGCAAGGCTGAATGTATTAAAAAGCCATAACCCAAGATTGTATAAATATACATATAATCCATTCAATACAGACTAAATGTCATTAAACTAGTTCAATTAAATTAGATTTTTTTTTTACCCTATTTACACCAAAATCAGTCACTTAGCCATTTACAAAGTCACTTTTCACTTTCCTTAAGGCTGGAAAACTTCTGAAAATCTGAAAAGGTTTCAAAACACTAGGCATATAGAATTGCTGGCTTTGTAAATCGTTACAGAGGAAAACATACGGAGAACGTTCTGAAAACATCATGAGAAGATTTTGAGAACATTCTGAAAACATTTTCAGAACATTCTGAGAACATCCTTAGAACATTTTGAGAACATTCTGAAAACATTGTGAGAACATCCATTGAATATTTTCAGAACATTCTGAGAACATCCTTAGAACATTTTGGGAACATCTTGAGAACATCTTGAGAACATTCTAAAATATCTTTAGAACATTTTGAGAACATTCTGAAAACATAATGAGAACATTCTAAGAACATCCTGAGATCATAGTGAGAACATCATGAGCTCATAGTGAGAACATTCTGAGATCATCCTGAGAACATAGTGAGAACATTCTGAGATCATACCAAGATTATATTGAGATCCTACTCAGAACATTCTGAATCATCATAAGAATATTCTAAGATCATACTCAGAACATTCTGAGATCTTAGTAGAAGACAAACTCTTTCGTTCCAACTCCACTTTCTCAAACTCGCAGTGCCAGGAGTTTAAGCACACCTGAACTGATCTCTCCAGAAGCAGAACCCTCATGTGCCGGTAAACAGTCAGGAAGCCAACCATGACCCACATCAGTGGACAATACATCTAACACAGAAACTCAGGGCGGAGAAAGCTCACCTGGCTTGTCCTGTAATGCCTCCGCTGGATATGAGCTGTGCAAAACGACAGATAATAAACATTCAGAAAAACTCGTAATATGATCACATGCTGAGAAACACTTTAGTTCCATCACTATTAAATAACCACACAGGAACACATTATTAACATCCTAGTAACAAGACACTATGATTAACAAATATATTAGTTAATATAGCACTCAACTGAATCTAGTGGTTAGAAAGTTGAAAAACAGTAAATGACTACATTACTAGTGATTTACCATGATCTTCACCTTTACACAGTCCACTGCAATATCAAGATATGTTTATTTGAGAAGCAAAATTTCTTTGGATATTAAGACTTCATTGTTTTCAATCCCACGAGTGACTTTGTGCTTAAAACCAGAACACACATCTGACAAATAAACTTCATTCAAAGGGAAAACAAGATGATTTTCTCACTCCACTGGCAGATATTTGTTCTTGTTTTAAGCATTAACTTAATATTGACACATTTTTCAGAAAACAAGACTTAATATCTTATGCCATTTTGCATCTTGATAAATGTAAGAGGAACAAAATGTTCATCAAAGTTGTCCAAAGACAAGAACGGGTATTGTTTAAAATTCATGTATAATTTTGATGAAAGGTTTTTCAACTGTTGACTGTTGTTTTAGGAAAGATATTTATACTAGAAAAAGATAGAAAAACATGTTTTGCAGTGCAGAATGCTAATACTCATTTTTTTTCTTCTTTAAATGGATCATATAATGGTACATGCACTTTTACAAGTTGATTGGACTGAAATGTGTGTTGGCAGTGCCTGTACACAACCATCATATAATGATAAAAATCCAGTGTTTTTGTTTTAATCTACTTAAATGTTTCCCGTCTCAAGTCGAGCCGTTCGTTTTATTAACTTTATATTAATCTTTGCAAGTTACGAATAAAAAAGTTGTTCATGACCTGTAACATCAATCTGTCAATGAACTAACCTATACAACAGTAAACCAACTATTCAGAAACGTCCTGTTCGAGCCTTAATTGTCGAACTTCTTCGGGCCGACATCTTGTTCCGGGTCCGACTCCGGTTCAAATTGGGTCCGACTCCGGTTCAAACCGGGTTCCGACTCCGGGTCAATTTGGGTCCGACTCCGGGTCAAACCGGGTCCGACTCCCGCTGCCATTCTCTCTCAAAAATATACCCTCAACTGTTGTCAAGGCAACACTCCACGTGCATTGTGTCTAAATGCTCGCAGAACAGAGGGGCGGAGTCAACAAAGCTCATTATCATTTAAAGGCACATGCACTGAAACGGCGTGGTGGAAAAATTTGTGTTTTCTTACAATACTAATGAGAATTTTTAATAAAAGTATATTACAAAGTTTTAATCTAGACCCTAAAGATTCATATTAACTTGTACAAAAATGGCATTATATGACCCCTTAAATGATGGAACAGGATTGTAACAGAAAGACAGCATCACTAAAGGCTCACCTGGGGTTTTTGAGGAACACGTGATCTGGCAGATCTTCAGACGTCACGGGCAGAAGTGGAGATCCAGATGTGTGTTGGGTCACGGAGATGGAGTCGGCCATGGCTTGCTGGAGTAACCCCTGAACCAGCTCTTTCTCTGGCGCCACAAACACCCAATGAGTCTTCGTTAGCATTAGCCCTTAGCATTCATCTGCAGACATCAACTAATAACGGAGACTAACCTATGGCTGCTTTTGTTAATGATTGGCAGAGCTTAGTGTAGCTAAATATTAAAGATGGCGTGAATTTCAAACCCATTCGAGGCCGATTCAGACCCTGACAGTGTTAACATGAGGATCACGCAGAACGGATTTCATGTACTGACTTTACAAGATATTTGCTGGAAAACTAACGTAATACAAACAGTAATCGATCACAAAATGATAAGAGGAGAACTGGTTTCTCCCAAAGTTTCTTTCTCCATTCTGTCACTGATGGAGTTTGGGTTCCTCACCACTGTCACCTTTTTTTCGCCTTTGTCGCCATTGGCTTAGTTGGAGACATTTAATTTAATATTCAACAATATTATTGATCTGCCTGCATTGATACCGTTATATGAGAACTGAACTGAGCTGGACAATAAGATCAAGGTTTTCTCTGGAGCAACTATATATGAAGAGTTCAGATGCAAAAGCCTCTAAGTGCCATTTGAAATTTTCTTCTTTAATGATGATTTTTATCAAGCTTGTATGTTTAAGTTCAGTGATTTCACTTAAATGGCAATGATAATTACCTATTAATTGTTATTTAAGTGAAATTACTGAACTTATATATTCAAGTTTGATAAAAATCATCATTCAAGAAGAAAATTTCGAATGGCATTTAGAGGCTTTTGCATCTGAACTCTTCATATATATATATATATATATATGAACGAAATTAATAACTTTTTTATGAAACAAAAATGAACCATCACTGAACTTAAGCTGGACTATGATGCTATTTTTTTCTGGAAACAAATAGTTGCATTATTTTCCAGTTATCTCTGTAAAGCTGCTCTGAAACAATCTGTATTGTAAAATGCGCTTTATAAATAAAGGTGACTTGACTATAAAAGCATAATGTTCAGAAACAGTGTTAAAAATAAGTTAAACCCTCTCTGAGTTCGTCAGCCTTAGGAAGTTCAAACAAATGAGTTTTGAAAATGTAAAATTAGTTTTTTTGTGTGTAAAACACGGGCCTCGTCCGCTTGTTTTTGTATTCCGTGGGCGGGATTATTTAAATGAATAACATTTACATGGCAACATTACACACTAACTAAAGTTGAAAAAGTGGAAAAGCATAATAGGACCCCTTTAAAGGTCTTTATATGCTATTCAAAGCAGACCATTCATCAGGTAGTTATTTGGTTAACACTAATAAATCAAATCAAATGAAAGGGCGACTGTTCACCTTTATCATTCGCCAGCAAAAGCCAATGCTGAACCATGGAGAGAGAATCAGTCTGCAGGATCTGACACAAGAGCTCCAGCACCTGACAGAGAGAGAGAGAGAGAGAGAGAGAGAGAGAGAGAGAGAGAGAGAGAGAGAGAGAGAGAGAGAGAGAGAGAGAGAGAGAGAGAGAGAGAGAGAGAGAGAGAGAGAGAGAGAGAGAGAGAGAGAGAGATATCAGCAGCTTATTCCAACAAATTAGAATAGATCAGATAATTAAATTATGAAACAATCATTAAATATTTGATTAAATCTCGTTGGCATGCAGTCTGTGTCCTGTCCATATTCGCCATATCTTAAATTGGAAATTAGGAAACAAGAAGAGCTTCAGGAGCTGCGCTCTGAATGGATCATTATAACCAAATATAATGCAGTGTATAGATAATGGACTGCATAATATTTTTATGAGATGACGATAAACATTTGAAACATTAGCAGGCTATATGTTTCTCCACATGATTCATGTTACATGTTGAATTAAGTGCACTAAATACACTGTTTACTTCAATTTTGGGTTGAAATAAACTTTTGGTAGTCCAAGAAAAAGATCCCACTATTTAGTTTATTCGTCACAGACAGATAAATCCAGACTAATCTGGTTGTTTGGTCTTAGCCCACCAGCAAACGTCCAGTCTTTCTCTTGAATTCAACACGGAAGTGTCTTAAACTGCAGTTCATCAACTGGCCACTAGAGGCAGGCTCCAAAGAGAGTCAACCCCATAAACCTGCATGTTAAAATGCCCAACTTTACAGCAGAAAAAAACATGTTTACAGCCTGGTGCAAAAAGTGGTTTTGGTCTATATAGCTAATTTTGACCTTCATTAAAACTGTGAGGGAGGGTGAATTTTTTTTTATAACTCATCCGTTTAAATTATATTAAGCATTAAAGTTCTGCATTATTAAGGGCGTGGCCACTTGAGTGACAGGTGGATTGCCGCTGATGTCACTACTAGCCGTTTGTCTGCTGTCCGTTAGCGTCACGTCACCTCAGCTAATCCACCCGTTTTCATTTATCCAGGAGTGACACGCTGCCAAGATGGCGACGGCCGGCTCCGCCCACTTTGCTCTTCAGAAACACTATGGGTGATGTCACAGACATTACATTCATATTTTTTTTTACAGTCTATGGTCTTAGCTGATCCTCCAGCTGGTTTCAGGCTCATTTAGTGGGGATTTGACCACTTGTCAAGCTGGTCTTAGCTGGTCATCTGAACAAACACCAGCTTGGCCAGTTTAAACCAGCTCAAACCAGTTTAAACCAGCTCAGACCAGCCAACCAGCTTGACACGTTTAAACCAGCTCAAACTAGCCATCCAGCTTGTCCAGTTTAAACCAGCTCAAACCAGCCATTCAGCTTGTCCAGTTTAAACCAGCTCAAACCAGCCATTCAGCTTGTCCAGTTTAAACCAGCTCAAACCAGCCATTCAGCTTGTCCAGTTTAAACCAGCTCAGACCAGCCATTCAGCTTGTCCAGTTTAAACCAGCTCAAACCAGCCATTCAGCTTGTCCAGTTTAAACCAGCTCAGACCAGCCATTCAGCTTGACCAGTTTAAACCAGCTCAGACCAGCCATTCAGCTTGTCCAGTTTAAACCAGCTCAAACCAGTTTAAACCAGCTCAGACCCGCCATTCAGCTTGACCAGTTTAAACCAGCTCAAACCAGCCATTCAGCTTGTCCAGTTTAAACCAGCTCAAACCAGCCATTCAGCTTGTCCAGTTTAAACCAGCTCAGACCCGCCATTCAGCTTGACCAGTTTAAACCAGCTCAAACCAGCCATTCAGCTTGTCCAGTTTAAACCAGCTCAAACCAGCCATTCAGCTTGTCCAGTTTAAACCAGCTCAGACCAGCCATTCAGCTTGACCAGTTTAAACCAGCTCAGACCAGCCATTCAGCTTGTCCAGTTTAAACCAGCTCAAACCAGTTTAAACCAGCTCAGACCCGCCATTCAGCTTGTCCAGTTTAAACCAGCTCAAACCAGCCATTCAGCTTGTCCAGTTTAAACCAGCTCAGACCAGCCATTCAGCTTGACCAGTTTAAACCAGCTCAGACCAGCCATTCAGCTTGTCCAGTTTAAACCAGCTCAAACCAGTTTAAACCAGCTCAGACCCGCCATTCAGCTTGACCAGTTTAAACCAGCTCAGACGAGCCATTCAGCTTGACCAGTTTAAACCAGCTCAAACCAGTTTAAACCAGCTCAGACCAGCTTGACCAGTTTAAACCAGCTCAGACCAGCTTAGGTTTGTTTTAGACATTTTTTCCCATCTGGGAAAGGAAATATAAATCGAGTATCAAACATATTTGTGTTTGGCATTTTGTTGTTGTCAGATAACCCAATTCTGGACGGAACCATCAAACTCCGACATGAACGTGTTCAGAAAACACTTGAAGGTCAATAAATGAGTGCAGGTGTGTGACCTTGATCTCCACTCCTTCCAGCGCGTGTGTGTGCCGTCTCTGTAATCCCAGACGCTTGTGTGTCGCCCGGCTGCTGCGTTTCTTCCCTCCCCAGGACGAGGCCGGGATGATCCGACCGGACTGAGCCGAATACTGAGTCTTCCTGCGAGGAGCCTCCTCGTCTCGGGGTTTCTGTGAGTTTATTCACAGACAGACACTTTAACATTCAGCCTTATCTTGTGAAATCCGCTTCACTCAGCATCATCTGATCTAATACAATTCAACAAATCCACAAAATATGATCATCCTCGTGCGAGGGACTAAAAAGTCAAGTCAACAATATATTGAACCCATATATATATATGGTGTGAAAAAATATATAAATATGTCTGAAATATTATTTGGAATATATATTAATATTATTATAAATAAATATTATTTGGAAAATATTATTTGAAATATATATAAAAATATAAATATGTCTAAATATTATTGCATTAATTCTACTCATTACAGCACTACACTCTTAGATGCATTATTTATTTGTTTGCACATAAATTATTTTTTATCTGTTTTAAGTATTTTGCATTTTACACAAAGTCCTTGTTAATATCTGAGCATGTTATTGTCTGAATAAATCTGATTTCTCCCTCAGTTGTTGACAAATCTGCATTGTGTGCAATGCATGATGTGCCAACATGATTTAAAAGCTGATGTTTGATGTGGGCGTTACACTTTTAAAGCTTTGTGTGCGTGAATCATAAAGAGCGTTGGTCTTCAGATGAGAACGAGACGTTTCAGATCAGAACATTGCATTCTCTGTGTTCACGGACATTATCTGTGCATCACAGTGTTTTAGTCATGTGTGAAGCCCAGTACAGTAAGTGAACGCCTGCTGAAGCTGAAAGGTCATAGGTCAAGCACCTCTTTCTTGTCATGGTGGGTCTCAGCGGCCGCTGAAAGACTGACTTTAGTGGCCAAATCCTTCAGTTCCTCACGCCAGCTTTCAGAAATGAGTGCTGTGGGAAGACAAAGATGGGTGATGATGAATATATAGTGCATTACACGTCATAATTAATGATAAAAATAAGCATTCTGTATAAAGGGTTTAAAAAAAGTGCTACCAAATATTTTCCTATCCCTCTTTTTTAAAGGGTTAGTTCACCCAAAAATATTCATGTAAATGTTCATGTTGTTCCAACCCTGTAAGACCTTCGTTCATCTTCGCAACACAAATTAAGATATTTAAGATATTAAGATCGCTCCTGCATACAGTCCATAGGCTTCTTGAGGGAATGACTCTTGCTGGCCTCGAAAAGTCATTAAAGACATCGTTAAAATAGTCCAAGTGACTACAGGGGCTCAATTTTAACTTCATCAAACGACGAGAACACTAATTTTGTGCGCAAAAACAAACAAAAATAACGACTTTATTTCAACTATTCACTTCCTTCTCCATGGGCCTGTAGTCAGTTAACGTAGTGTGATTGCGTAAAGCTACGACACACGAAGGCTCACTATTGGCCGACGCTGGTCATGTGTGTGATGCGTGTGACGTACAATAACAGAAGCTAGTAACCTGACTCGAGCAGAGGGAGAAATAAAGCAATAGTTGAACTAAAGTCGTTGTTTTTGCGCACAAAAGTGTTCTCGTCGTTTGATAAACTTAAGATTGAGCCCCTGTAGTCACTTGGACTATTTTAACGATGTCCTTTAATGACTTTTCGATGAGTCATTCCCTCAAGAAGCCTATGGACTGTATGCAGGAGTGATCTTAATATCTTAAATATCTTAATTTGTGTTGCGAAGATGAACGAAGGTCTTACGGGGTCGGAACAACACGAGGGTGAGTAAATACTGACAGAATTTTCATTTTTTGGGTGAACTAACCCTTTAAGCCATAAACCCGTAACACAGTGCATCTGTACCTGCTCGCGGTCCGGATCGGTCCGAGCTGACCTCAGGAGTGAGAAACACAGATGAACGGCTCGCACTGACACACACTTGACTCTTAATGAGTGGATGTGGACAGAGAGGAGTGAAGCCGTACCAGTCGTCATTCACCGTACACACCGGCTTGCCGTTCAACCCTGAGGAAAGAAGTGCTCGAGATGTGGCTCAACTTTGACTTTCATCACTCCCGGCCTGGATAACACACACTGAACGCCTGCAGGATTATTCACAGGATTAAAGTCGGGTTTTAATCAGATGCTAAAGGATGTGATCACAGGTTCTTGGAGGCGGAAAGCTATCAAAGAATCCAGCTGTGATGAAGCTGCTTGAAGGTCTAAGATGTGTGTGTGTGTGTGTTTTGACGCAGTTGCACAGGATCAGAGCTTTGAATGAATTTCCACGTAGAACAAATGTGATCCGAGGCCTGTTTGTGCTTGATGTTACAGTGATCATGTTTCAGGATAAATGAGTGAGCTGTTTCGGCCATGCACATATTCACACTCCCTCGCATTCAGTGTAAGAATGAAAATCAGTCGCGTTTGTTCACAAAAGAGAAAAAGCATGTCTGTTTATGCAGGACTTTGTCATTCAAAGAACAGATTCAATTGCTGCCACTTTCCAAATGTGACGGAGATGCGGTTGCCTTTGTGATGATAATAAAACCACACAAAATACTTTCACTCGGGATTCCTGCTACGAAGGGCTGTGACAGCATGATAAAAGGAGTACGAAATAAACACAGATAAATATTTCCATCAGGCATTTATCACAAAATATATATTTCTCCTCGTCTTTATCTGTCTTTTCATACCACACATGGATTAAATGTAGTATTAATTTTGTTTTGCTGGTGTTGCTGAACCTACAAAAGAAGAAATATGATCTAAAAATCTTGGTGACTGTCATTTGTTAACAGCATTTGTTAATCTTAGATAGCGTAAATTTTAACATTTACGAACACATTTTTAAATTCAAAAGTTCCTCTGCGTCTGATTTCAGGCCTTCCTGTTTGTTTAAACCAGTATTAACTAATATTGACGCAGATTTAAAGCTTTTGCCTGATCAAAACCCAGTGATATTCCTCTGACCTCTTCTCTTTTGTAATGTCTCTCAGTCATTTCTCTTTCAACAGTTAAATCTCCCTCTTTCTCTCTCTTACTCCTCCCCCGTCATGAGTGGACACACCTCCCACTGCTGATTGGCTCACTCATTCTCCATCATGAGTGGACACGCCCCCCACTGCTGATTGGCTCACTCTCTCTCCTCCCCCATCATGAGTGGACATGCCTCCTACTGCTGATTGGCTTTTACTCTCTCCTCCCCATCATGAGTGGACACGCCCCCTACTGCTGATTGGCTCACTCTCTCTCCTCCCCCATCATGAGTGGACACATCCCCTACTGCTGATTAGCTCATTCTCTTCTCCCCCATCAAGAGTGGACACGCCCCCCACTGCTGATTGCTCACTCGTTCTCCCCCATCATGAGTGGACACGCCCCCTACTGCTGATTGCTCACTCGTTCTCCCCCATTATGAGTGGACACGCCCCCTACTGCTGATTGCTCACTCGTTCTCCCCCATTATGAGTGGACACGCCCCCCACTGCTGATTGCTCACTCGTTCTCCCCCATCATGAGTGGACACGCCCCCTACTGCTGATTGCTCACTCGTTCTCCCCCATTATGAGTGGACACGCCCCCCACTGCTGATTAGCTCACTCTCTCCTCCCCCGTTATGAGTGGACACACCCCCCACTGCTGATTAGCTCACTCTCTTCTCCCCATTCATGAGTGGACACGCCCCCTACTGCTGATTGCTCACTCGTTCTCCTCCCCCATCATGAGTGGACACGCCCCCCACTGCTAATTAGCTCACTCTCTCCTCCCCCATTATGAGTGGACACACCCCCCACTGCTGATTAGCTCACTCTCTTCTCCCCATTCATGAGTGGACACGCCCCCTACTGCTGATTAGCTCACTCTCTGCTCCTCCATCATGAGTGGACACGCCCCCCACTGCTGATTGGCTTTTACTCTCTCCTCCCCCATTATGAGTGGACACACCCCCCACTGCTGATTAGCTCACTCTCTTCTCCCCATTCATGAGTGGACACGCCCCCTACTGCTGATTGCTCACTCGTTCTCCTCCCCCATCATGAGTGGACACGCCCCCCACTGCTAATTAGCTCACTCTCTCCTCCCCCATTATGAGTGGACACACCCCCCACTGCTGATTAGCTCACTCTCTTCTCCCCATTCATGAGTGGACACGCCCCCTACTGCTGATTAGCTCACTCTCTGCTCCTCCATCATGAGTGGACACGCCCCCTACTGCTGATTGGCTTTTACTCTCTCCTCCCCCATCATGAGTGGACACGCCTCCTACTGCTGATTAGCTCATTCTCTTCTCCCCCATCATGAGTGGACACGCCCCCTACTGCTGATTGGCTCACTCTCTCTCCTCCCCCATCATGAGTGGACACGCCCCCTACTGCTGATTGGCTCACTCTCTCTCCTCCCCCATCATGAGTGGACACGCCCCCACTGCTGATTGGTTACAAGTGTGTTGTGCTGCTCAGTCCAATCCACATTCAACTATGCGCATGTTCACATATGCTGAAAAAGTTGGGTGACACTTCACAGATTACAAACACGAGCATAAACCCTCACCTTGCATATGCCTGACTCTGTGTGGATGAGGATTGTGTCTGGAGAAGAAGGAGTGATGGCTCAGGCTCCCGAAGCGAAGACTGCCTCTAGTGGAGGTCCTGCTCGTGCTCGTGCTCGCAAACATGGGCTCAGGACTCTTCTGCAGAGCTTCCTTCACATGCTCATCTGACGTCTCCATTATCTCTGCAAGGAAAAGTCAAAGGTCATGTTCAAATATCCCAAATGCTCATTCCTTTTACACACTGTAAAAAAAAAATTTCAAGATTTGTTTTCACAACATTTTTTCTTTTGTCAAATCAACTTTATAATAATTTATTTAGTTGAGATAACTTATTATTTTGAGTTTCTGATGATTAAATTAATCTCATTCATTGTATTAACTCACTTTTTCCAGTTCAATCAACTTAAAATTTTAAGACAACCCAGGTTACTTACTTTTTTAAGTTAAACCAACAATATTTTTTTTACAGTGTAGTAATCACAACATTTTTTCTTTTGTCAAATCAACTTAAATAATTTATTTAGTTCAGATAACATAATTTTGAGTTTCTGATGGTTAAATCATTCTCCTTCATTGTATTAACTCGCTTTTTCCAGTTCAATGAACTTAAAATTAAGGCAACCAGGTTACTTACTTTTTTAAGTTAAACCATCAATATTTTTTTTACAGTGAAAATATTCCCCAGTTAAACCAGCTGAATACAACACACTTTACTCGCTTGCTTTGACACAAAAGGAAATGTCATGTACTTTAACAGACAACTACTTTATAATTGTAGCTATTTAGACACACACACAGTTATCTGAAAGATTTTAGAAGTCTTCATTTATGCATTTATTTTTAAACATGTAATGCAACTCATTTTTAAGAACAATTACTATTTAATGCCCTGCTCACCTCAGTTCCCTGTTTCTTCTGATGTTTGCTGTTGTTGCTTGGAGACTCTGAACAAAGAAACCCTGAAGCTCCAATAGCAGAGCAGACACTGCTAACACATGCTCATTTTTCACTGTTTTAAGCAACTTTGATTTGTCCTGAGTTATGCATTAATCTTTAATTTTGAGCTCTCAAACGCACTGAGGCTTTACTAATAGCTTATATAATTTTTTTTAATGTTATGTTATAAGAAATGATGGTAACACTTTACAATAAGGTTCATTAGTTAATAACATGACAACAGAACTAACAATGAGCAATACATTTGTTCATCTTTGTTAATGTTAGTTAATAATAAAATACAGCTGCTCATGTCTGTTCACAGCGCATAATGTTAACATCATTTTAATTAAGTATCCGTAAATGTTGAAATTAACATTAACAAAGTGTAGTTCGTTTTTAGTTAATAATAACTGTAACGTGCAAGCGAAATGATTATAAACACACTAAAATATTTGACATGTTGCTTTTGTTCATTTGCGCTTGCGGAAGACAGACAGTATAAAGTTTGGAAAGGGTTAACGCGTTTATGGAGATTAAATATGGATTCGAGGAATGTTGTTCATTCACAGATGAAAACCACTTAAAGAATCAATTCATGAATATAAACTAACCAACGCAATAGCATGACCATTTGTGATGTATGGCAATCGTGGGCCACACTCATAAGCACTCAGCGGGAATATCACCACAGATATCAACAACAATCTCTCTATCCAATTCCTCTGTCATAAATCGACCCGTGCGGCCTGAATGCACACAAATAATTGAAAATGTCAAAACAGCTCAAACATGTAACCCAGTTATTAAAGAAAATGTATTGATGTTTGCAATACATGTGTATAGGCTACATATGTGTGCTCACGCAGTTTATAAATATGATAAATAGCCTATGACATAAAAAAAGTTGAAATTGAAACGTATGACTACAAAGCTAATTCATAATTTTTACTTTGTCATTAGGCCTACACATAAAAACAAATGTCGAAATTATAACAGGCTAAGCCAATATGACCTACAGAAGTGGAAATTATGAAAGTCACACACAAAAAATAAAGCACTAGACTCAATATGTCATAATGTCGACGTTTTATCACTAAATCACGTTTTGTTTTTTGTTTTACGAGGCGAAAGGAAAATAAGAATTTCAAGTCATATTTGGGCGAACGCGCACTGACGCCCCCCACAGAAGCTCGGGCGCGCGCGCAGGGATTTTATTACAGCTCACTGAACGTCACTTGACATCTGGATGTACTTTTCCCCTTCGTATGTGAATAATATAATCAAGAAAGCGAGATGTCTTCTTCTTCCACAGAGATGACGGCCACTACGAAGATCACTCCTGAGGCGCTCCAGGAACTCCTGCGATACTACAACCTTTCCCGGCAGGAATTCATCGATGCGTACGACATCCAGCCGCTGGTTTACATCCCTGAACTCCCAGCCGGAGCTAAAACCACATTTGTGGTCGTGTACGTGGTTATTTTCGTGCTGGCGCTGGTTGGAAACAGTTTGGTGGTTTATATTGTGGCGCGTAAGCGCGCGATGCGAACGGCGACCAACATCTTCATCTGTTCGCTGGCGGTCAGTGATCTCCTCATCACCTTCTTCTGTGTCCCGTTCACACTCCTGCAAAACATCTCCTCAGAGTGGCTGGGAGGTCAGAGAAACCATTTGCAATCCATTTAATCACTTTAATTACTCATTATCCAACATGAAGAGGCTATTGGCGATGCTAGAAATCGTCAAACAAGTGATGCTAGTCATCATCTAACTAAAAAAAATAGAGACATTTCAACATTTCATGTTGTTATTCAGTTTATGAGCTCATATTAGCCTAATTAAAACTTGTAGTGAATAACTTTTAAAAATCATGTCATAACAGCATTGGAGCAGGTGGCGCATATAAAAACAGCACAAAACCATTTCAATGTTTGCGTTTGTTATTCGTGAACTACAAAACATCAGGCGTTATTATATAGGTCATATTTTATAATAATTTAAACGTTTGAAATTTGAACACCTTAAAGATAATTTATTATTATGTTAATTAAGAGGTTATGGAATATTAGCATGTTTATGAAATCATTTGTCACTGCAGGATCATTTAAAACGAAATACTGAATATAAAAAGGGGATTAAAATGTGAAACATGAAAAGTTAAATGTATTTATATATATATATTTACATGTAGCCTAAAGTTTATAACCTAAAAACATCACACACTCTTACTCTCACAATCTCACAGAGAATCACACACACACACACACACCCTTTATGGTCTGAGCCACACAAAAAACAGTATCTTTGTGGTTCTTTCTTTTAAGTGAAAGATTTACCCAATTTTTACATATTATTTGTTCAACAGTCCTGTGAATGGAAGATGTCTCTTACAAAGCACCACGATGATGATAATACAGTTTTTTGTGTGTGGCGCACGATGGTATCCTATAAAGTACCTGTATTTGATGGTGTTGGATGTAAATAGCGTGAGTTATGAATATCCCCCATCGGTCAGCGTTTCTGTCTGCGTGCTGCTGTTTTCTAAAGCCAGTTCTCCTGTGGGGTTTCATTAAAGAGACGCTTCAGGTCTGAATCTACAGTGTGAATATGAGAAACTGAGAGCAAAGACAAACATGACCTTCTCTTATTTATTTTATCATCATTGCGTTAAAATGTAAACACTGTTTAACTCGTACACACATCCTAACAACTTTATGCAAATAAGCAACGATCCAGTGACAACCAATGGGAGCGCAGACAATGAAGTTCACTTGATCTGTGTACAGTTGCACAGGCTTTGTGTATGCTACATTTCTGTAGTTAATAAGATATTGCACATTTGTGATTTATTATTGATCTACTCCACTTTCTCATAACACTGTCAATCATGCAGCGGTTAATAAGCCAAGAGATCAAAGGTCATCGCACCTGTCCGTAGCCAACAACTGCTTTCCAGTTTCTCTATTGGGGGTTAATAGAGTTGAATAGAGTTGAATGGAGGGGAATGGAGTTAAATGGAGGTGAATGGAGTTAAAGGGAGTTGAATGGTGTTGAATGGAGTTGAATGGTGGTGAATGGACGGGAATGGGGGTTAATAGAGTTGAATGGAGGTGAATGGAGTTAAATGGGGTTGAATGGAGGGGAATGGTGGTGAATGGAGTTAAATGGAGGTGAATGGAGTTAAAGGGAGTTGAATGGAGGTGAATGGTGTTGAATGGAGTTGAATGGTGGTGAATGGAGGGGAATGGGGGTTAATAGAGTTGAATGGAGGTGAATGGAGTTAAATGGAGTTGAATGGAGGGGAATGGTGGTGAATGGAGTTAAATGGAGGTGAATGGAGTTAAAGGGAGTTGAATGGTGTTGAATGGAGTTGAATGGTGGTGAATGGACGGGAATGGGGGTTAATAGAGTTGAATGGAGGTGAATGGAGTTAAATGGGGTTGAATGGAGGGGAATGGTGGTGAATGGAGTTAAATGGAGGTGAATGGGGTTAAAGGGAGTTGAATGGAGGTGAATGGTGTTGAATGGAGTTGAATGGTGGTGAATGGAGGGGAATGGGGGTTAATAGAGTTGAATGGAGGTGAATGGAGTTAAATGGAGTTGAATGGAGGGGAATGGTGGTGAATGGAGTTAAATGGAGGTGAATGGAGTTAAAGGGAGTTAAATGTAGGTGAATGGTGTTGAATGGTGGTGAATGGAGGGGAATGGGGGTGAATGGAGTTAAATGGAGGTGAATGGTGGTGAATGGAGTTAAATGGAGGTGAATGGAGTTAAAGGGAGTTGAATGGAGGTGAATGGTGTTGAATGGAGTTGAATGGTGGTGAATGGAGGGGAATGGGGGTGCATGGAGTTAAATGGAGGTGAATGGAGGTGAATGGTGGTGAATGGAGTTAAATGGAGGTGAATGGAGTTAAAGGGAGTTGAATGGAGGGGAATGGTGGTGAATGGAGTTGAATGGAGGGGAATGGAGCTGAATGTAGGGGAATAGAGTTAAAGGGAGTTGAATGGAGTTGAATGGAGGGGAATGGGGGTTAATAATAGAGTTGAATGGAGGTGAATGGAGTTAAATGGAGGTGAATGGAGTTAAAGGGAGTTGAATGGAGGTGAATGGAGGGGAATGGGGGTTAGAGTTGAATGGAGCTGAATGGAGGTGAATGGAGTTAAATGAAGCTGAATGGAGGAGAATGGAGTTAAATGGAGCTGAATGTAGGGGAATGGAGTTAAATGGAGCTGAATGGAGGTGAATGGAGTTAAATGGAGGTGAATGGAGTTAAAGGGAGTTGAATGGAGGGGAATGGTGGTGAATGGAGTTGAATGGAGGGGAATGGAGCTGAATGGAGGGGAATGGAGGAGAATGGAGGTGAATGTAGGGGAATAGAGTTAAAAGGAGTTGAATGGAGGGGAATGGGGGTTAATAATAGAGTTGAATGGAGGTGAATGGAGTTAAATGGAGGTGAATGGAGTTAAAGGGAGTTGAATGGAGGTGAATGGAGGGGAATGGGGGTTAATAGAGTTAAATGGAGCTGAATGGAGGTGAATGGAGTTAAATGGAGCTGAATGGAGGAGAATGGAGTTAAATGGAGCTGAATGGAGGGGAATGGGGGTTAATAGAGTTGAATGGAGCTGAATGTAGGGGAATGGAGTTAAATGGAGGAGAATGGAGTTAAATGGAGCTGAATGTAGGGGAATGGAGTTAAATGGAGGAGAATGGAGTTAAATGGAGCTGAATGGAGGTGAATGGAGCGCAAGGTCCAGTGTGACGCACCTTTAATCCTCAACACTTCAGTGTTTTGCGCTCCTCACTCGCTGAACATCATGTCACGTTTCTCTGCGCAGTGAATCACTTTGTCATGTTGCAGCTGCAAACATTCAGAATAAACATGTTTACATTTCTTTAGGGATTTTAGAGACAGACAGAGTTAAAGGATGAGATCATTTACTCACTCCCACGTCATCCAAAATGTCCATGTCATTCTTTCTTTAGTTGAAAAGAAATGAAGGAAAACATTCCAGGATTTTCTTCCATATAGTGACTTCAATGGGGTCCAAACGGTTTCACTGCAGCTTTAAAGTCTCCACACGATCCCAGGCGAGGCGAGGAGTAAGAGTTAAATAAGAGACTGATTCCTCGGCTGAGATCGTGTCGAGACTCACATCTGAACCCGTGAAATGGACTTTAAGTGCTTTAACCATCCATAAATTGTATTAAAAATATCAGCTATCTGTGAACACTTCTATAAATTGTGCTTCAGCCTTTCACAGTGTGTGTTTGTGTGTGTGCAGGTGTCCTAGTATGCAAGACCGTTCCTTTTGTGCAAACCACTGCCATCGTAATCGGCATCCTCACCATGACCTGCATCGCCGTCGAGAGGTACCAGGGCATCGTCTATCCGCTCAAAATGAAGAGGCAGTACACGCCAAAACGAGCCTACAGAATGTTAGGTAAGGTCAAACGCCCACACACTCGGCTGATTACTTTCTTATTCAAATACACCTGCCCCAAAAGCCCCAAAAATCTGATCTGACTCCACCTACGCTCTTAACACACATTCCTGGTGTTACAGTGCAACTCAAAAAAAGGTTATTTTACATCACATCAGCAGGCAGCTCACGAGTTTGTCTCTAACAAGTGCTGTGGATCAGTGTGATGTAAATCCCATCAGCCACTGCAGTGTGTCGGGATTTCTAGAGACTGGAGAACATCATTATTTCCACAAACCGCTGAGCTTTCTAATGTGAGGGTTTATATTTGGAGGTCTGTGGACTGTTCTGAAATTACCAAGAAGTATTCCACTAAATGGCCAAAAAAATGTGCTAAATAGATTACGACCCACTTCTCAATTCCAAAAGTATTTTTTAATTGTTATTTGAAGGGACACTCCGCCTATTAAGATTTCCATAGTTAGAAATCCAATCGTACTATTGAATGGTCGTGCAACACTCTCTCAGTTTCGTATAAATCGTCATTTAACGTCACCGTAGGACGAAGTGTAAGCACTAGTTGGGGGTGGGGAAAAAAAATCGATTCTTCGATGCATCACGATGTGGACGATCCTGAATCGATTCACAAATGTCAAAAAATTGACCCCCCCCCCCCCCAAAAAAAAAATACTTTTTCAGGACAGCTCAATACTTACAAGGCCTTTACAAAAAACGTGAAAATTTGGAACCAAGAGCTGTATCATATATTTATAGCCTTTTTGTAAATGTTATTATTGTAGTTATCTCATATTGTTATTTATATTGTAGTTATTTTTTAGTCAATTTACTTATAAATGTATTTTCTTGTATGTATTGTAATGCTTTTTTTACATCATCGCCAGGGGACTACAGATGAAAAATAGCCTTTTGGCTAATTCTGGCTTTTTTAACCATGTTTGTTCATGCGTTTTATGAAATTGCACTGTCCCCTTTTAAATAAACCAATAAATCAAATTAAATCAAATAATAACGTAATATTGAAGGAACGTGAAAGACGAAAGTCTGAAGCGCGGAAGTCCAGTGGCCGGGCCGTTTGTGGCGTGCACATAACAGACGCCATGCCGCGCGAGATCCAAACACCCTCCGCGGTAAAAGCTGACGTGTGGAAATATTTTGGCTTCTGAAGTTGAAGGGGGAGGGGTTGCTAGGTTGTAATCTTTGTTGAATAAAACTAACGACGGAAACACGATAAATATGAGAAGCCATGTGACACGTTTCCAGTCAGAGGAGGAAAAACACGCGGCTGCACGTTATAATATTTATTTATCGTTAGTAACTAGAGCCCGACCGATAAAGGATTTTGAAGGCCAATACCGATACAAATATTTTTGGTTTTAAAATCCGATATATCGGTCCGATATTTGTTTTGTATTAAATATTGTTGGATTTCACACACGTGTAAAAGAAATGCTAACTGATACGTTTGATACTTTTTCTCCATGTCTAAATGTTCACTCCTCGCAAGTATAACTTACATTTTACAATGCAGGGACTGTAACTAGAGATATACTAGTTATAAATACAGTAATCATTACTTTATTTAGGCAGAAATAGTTCATTGTGGTTTCCAAGCTCATTAACGTTAGCGGTCTTCCACTAATGATAGTGGTATTAGCTAGCTTTGTGGTTAGCTAGTCTATGATGAGCCATAATTTAGCAATGGATAACGTCGTACTGCAAATTGTAAAACATACATTTTCAATATAACAGGCCGAGGAGAGATGATTAAAGCGTGTTTCGTCCGTTTTTATTTTATTTTTTAAATATTAATTTATCGGCCATTATAACTGCCGATACCGATATTATGAAAAATGCCTAATATCGGCCGATAATATCGGTCTGGCTCTATTAGTAACGTGAGGCAAAAGTTATAATGAAGGATAAACTGAAATTCACGGCATATCAACACAACTTCTGCTCACGTTGAAGGCTGCTATTGGTTCATCGAGGCTAAACGTCATATTATACGACTACGAATTACTTTACGACCGTTCGAACTAACGAACAAATGGTGCAACGGAATAAAATAAACAACTAGCTAATAGTTCCTTAAACTCTATTGTGGACCAGTCTATCGTGTGGACTTAAAGTTACAATTTAAAGGAGTAGTTCACTTTAAGAAAATCTTTTGCTGATAATTTACTCACCCCCATGTCATCCAAGAGGTCCTCATCTTTCTTTCTTCAGTCGAAAAGAAATGAAGGTTTTTGATGAAAACATTCCAGGATTTTTCTCCATATAATGGACTTCAATGGGGTCCAAATGAGAGTTTCAGTGCAGCTTCAAAGGGCTTTAAACGACAAATATATTATGAAGGTTAAAAAAATACAAAGAAAGAAAGAACTACAATGTCATGAAGCATTGCAAATCTAATAAAGAGATTTTCTTCGCAGAATCATGGGTTATGTAGTTTTTCACCAGGAATTCTATTGTTAAAGATGAAAGAATAATAACTAACTCACAGTAGGCCTGTTATCATTAAAAAGCAATTCCCCAATGGAGAAAATAACAGCATATAAATAAAACGCCGTTAAAAAAACGTAATGTTTCTCCCTGTTGGGAAATGAAAACTAGCTTTTCATTTGCATGCGCAAATATGTGCGGTCCCCTCGAGGGCTTTTGCTCTGCTAGGTTGGGTTTATGCAGCTGCTCTTCATTAACGTGACGGGCTCGTGGTGAGAGTCCATTAATATCCAGGTTTATATGCAGGGCTGGTGTGGATCGCCGCTGTCATGGTGGGATCGCCGATGCTGTTTGTGCAGCACTTGGAGGTGAGTGACTGATGAAATCATTGCTAGTTAATCACTGCTAACTGAGAACATTTAACCAGCACAAGGTTAATTGCTTTGACGCACGTGAAAATAGATTCGAGTCGAGTGCGGTTCATTTATCGGGGTCAAGCGTTATTCATGAATTTATTTGCATTCACTGTCAACATGTTCCTTCTGTTACAAATGAAACAGAAAAGCAATGCAAATAACTTGCTTAACCTTCAAAATGGCTTTTATTTACTGACATAACTTTGGGAACATGCAATGCATTTTACCCAAGAGCATTATGTTTCCTTGCCATAATGTTCAGCAAAATAAGCTTGTAACACTTTAATCAAAGCCTTTATGCATAATGCATTATATAAGCATTCATAAAGCATGTTTTAATGCATTATTTTCATAAATAATTCAAATATTTGCAGATATTTAATGCATTATACTTTCCACAATGAGTATTATAATGTATTATAACTTTGGTTACCATTATTCATGAGATCATACAGTGCATTACAAGGCATAATTAATGACAAAAGTCATTACTCACCCTTGTGTCCTTCAAAGCTGTAGGCTGATGTGCAAATGAAGAGTTCAGATGCAAAAGCCTCTAAATGCCATTTGAAAATTTCTTCTTTAATGATGATTTTTATCAAACTTGTATATTTAAGTTCAGTGATTTCACTTAAATAATTGCCATTTAAGTGAAATCACTGAAATTAAATATACAAGTTTGATAAAAAATTATCATTCTAGAAGAAAATTTCAAATGGCATTTAGAGGCTTTTGCATCTGAACTCTTCAAATGTTTTTTTTTATGAAAAAGTTTCATATAGCATCATAACAGAAGTCTAAGAGTAGCATTACAACAATTGCATGATAAAGACGCAGAAAATGAGCAAATTCCAGATTTTAAGTTTCTGAAGTTAAACCTTTTGTGGTTTGCAATTGATTTTTCGGTGCGTTTTTTCACCACACTGTTTACATGCCTCAAACACACACACTCCCAAAATAGCTAAACGTTTACAAAGATTGACATTCAGAGAGCACTTCGGATTGGCCAAGACGACACGGACGATTTCATGCATGCTACTCTAAAATAAATAGCCTCCAGCTCTTTTAAAAGTCATGCATGCTTTGTATGAATACGAATTAGGTTGCCTCTCTTATCTGTGTTCCTCAGGTGAAGTATGACTTCTTGTACGACCACCATCACGTGTGCTGTCATGAGCGCTGGCACTCGCTGGTGCACCGTCAGGTTTACACCACCTTCATGATGGTGGCGCTGTTCCTGCTGCCGCTCGCTGCCATGCTCTTCCTCTACAGTCGCATCGGCGTCCAGCTCTGGATCCGCAAGCGTGTGGGGGACTCCTCCGTCCTCAGCACCATGAACCACAGAGAGATCAACAAAATCACCAGGTACACTGAGAAACAATCAACATTTATATAGCGCTTTCATATAACTGTTTTACTTCCATAATATGAGGCAAACAACTCATTTTACCCAATAGCATTATACTTCACCTCTGGAAAGATGAATGTGTATTTAAAGGGATAGTTCACTTAAAAATTAATTGTTGATATGTTTTAGCTTGCCTCAAGGGCATCCAAGATGTAGGTGTCTTTGTTTCCGCAGTATTTTCAATTCAGTCAGTCATATAATGCAGGTCTATGGTCACCACCTCAAAGAGCAGCACAGAGAAGTCCAGATTAAACATGATTTAATGACTCGTAAATGTAAGTACACATTGATGGCCTAAGACACGAAACGAGCGGTTTGTGTGAGAAAATATCGTTTTATCTCGTGACCACAGCCACAAAGCGCCCGCGCCCTCAGATCACTTGGACGTGGCTGTGATCACAAGAGGGAAAACGATATAAATACTGTTGGTTTTCTCACACAAACCGCTCGTTTCGTGTCTAAGGCCATCAATGTGTACTTACATTTACGAGTCATTAAATCATGTTTAATCTGGACTTCTCTGTGCATGCTCTTTGAGGTGGTGACCATAGACCTCCATTATATGACTGACAGACCTAAAAATATCAAAATTGACAATACTGCGGAAACAAAGACACCTACATCTTGGATGCACTTGAGATAAGATAACACATATCAACAATTCATTTCAAAGTGAACTATCCCTTTAAAATGGGTCATTTATGTAGAAAAATTAGTTTTTTTAATTTGGAGCTTTCTAGAAAAGCCAGAAAATGTATTTTTGGCTTATGTGGATGACAGACAACATCTCCCAGAATGCACTTGCTTCGCTGCCCTAGGAGGCCACGCCTACCGGTAACAGAGCGCAGTCGTTAAACAACAAGTCTAGGCTACTAGTGATGAGTCTGCCCGAAAATGTGTTTCGAGATCGCCCAATATGTCCGGGATTGGGCTTTTGCTTTCTACAGTCGCCATTCATCATGTTTCCTGTGGGACGAGTGATTAGACGACAGCAGAAAGCAAAAGATGAATGTCCCGCAAAAAGAGGATGGTAACCCCGACTACTCAGCTTTCTCCACAGAACAAGAGCCTGCTAGCTTAGCTTCCAAAAAAAGATGGCCGACACTATGTGTTCATTCTGTGAGTGAGATCGCCCTCTATGGGCGGGTTGAGGACATGCGGGACAGACCCGACTACTGACTGGAGTCAAAACATCCTCCGATGACACAAAATGACGATTTTTGCATCATCGGAGGCTTTTTTCCAGACAAAAAATACGCAAATCTCTCGTCTCAGCGGGATATGAGCAGTGTTGGGTAAAAAAAAGTAATTAATTACTAGTTACTAATTACCTCTTCAACAGTGTAATTAGATTACTGTACTAATTACTCTCTCTAAAAAGTATTTAATTACTTTTAATTACTAATTACTTTCAAAGTCCACCTGAATAATACAAGGATAGACATGAATTTGTTTTAATAATCTCTCTTTCAAATAAATACTATAAAATTGCATGACATGAAATATGAAATATTAGTAAATGCTGAAATTAACATACAATTGCATGAATTATCCTTAAACAGACCAAGGTGGAGAAGGTTACATTATAAAAGACATCAGACAATACATTTTGATGTTAAACCCACTATTGTTTTCTGTCTGATCTCAAGACGTTTTACACTTTTTTCATACATATTTTACAATAATTCATACGAATTTGTACGAGTGCGGTCGTAATATTTAGACGCATGCATACGAATCGCTGTGAGATCGGATTGATCTACACACAGTAGCTATTTACCTCAATTACATCAGAAGTAACTTTACATTTTCAAGCGAAAAGTAATTAAATTACAGTAACTAATTACTTAGTAATTAGTTACACCCAACACTGGATATGAGGGTGGTAATTTGAAAATATTACAGGTTTCTACTAATACAAAGTATCCCTTTAAAATCAAATCAAGCTTGTTTTTCTGAATATGGAAACATTTTACTTGAAGCCTTTATGCATAATTCATATTCATAATGCACGTTGTTATGCATTATATCTTCTACAGTAACTTTCCCTTTTCTGCTGTCAAAAAACAGGAAGAAGAAACGTGCCGTCAAAATGATGATCACTATCGTGCTGCTGTTCACCGTCTGCTGGGCGCCGTTTCACGTCGTGCACATGCTGTTCGAGTACAGTGAGTGTGTCACGTCCATGTCTCTGATTGCATGCGTCTCGCTACTTGATCATAACAACACTACAGGAATATAAGTTCAGATGTCCCTGAACATATGTTCTGGATAACTACAGATCAGGCATTTTTTCGGATCTACAAATATTGTTTGTCACATTTTGTCTGGTCAGGACAGTGTGAAGCTCTATGGATAAATAGTTGCATCGTCCCACTGGGGAACATTTTTGTGGTTTGAACTTGTGGTGCACTCAAAGGACATTAAGATATCGATATAAAGGATATTTATTGAGATGAGGGCTGGGTAATGGCACAAATTTGTCAATTGAATTCGATTTTGATTCAATATTTATTCATTTGGGGCCTATCAGGTACAGTAAATGACAAATTTCCTAAAAAACAACAACTCTTAAGTGCTGTAAAGTATACATGAAACCACAATTCTTACAACATTATAATATTAAAGGTTAAAAATAATTGATTTGTAGAATATTGCATATAAATGATGGAGTGTCTGTTTAATAGGGATGGGCAACGATTAATCGCATCCAAAATAAAAGTTTGTGTTTACATGATATATGTGTGTGTGGTGTGTATAATTATTTTGTATATATATATATAAATACTAACACATGCATGCATATATTTAAGAAAAATGTGTTCTTAATATATCAAATATTTATATTTATACATAATATAAATATATATAAAGTATATACATGCAAATATTTCTTAAATACATGCGTGTGTGTGTGTATTTATATATACAAAATAATTACACACCACACACACATATATTACGTAAACACAAACTTTTATTTTGGATGCGATTAATTGATTAAAAGCTAATTAGGTCCAGACAAATGACAAAAGACGCAGATCGGAAAAGCACTATTTTCAATAAAATGTAAGAAAATATTCGAAAACGTGGAAATAAAGTGTTTAACGTGTTTAATAATAGGGTGTTTATCGGTTAGGGTTAGCTTTATTTTCCCAATAATTTTCCCATCCATTTAATAATTGAAATAAATATAATAATTTACGATGTTACTATTACATACCGTTTAATGTAGAACAACACTGAGGTGCGAACAGTATCTGCAACTATAAGAATAAATAGCATCTAACTACTATTTACACATATTTCATAGAAAACAATGCTATTATACAGTGTAAATAGAATCTAGTTGCTATTTATACAGTATAACTGGCCACTGCCTGCAAACTACACACGTTTTTATAATAACGGTATAATACATTTCGACTCGTTTTTATATATTGAGATTTAAATTGTGGCTGTCATAAAACGGATTTATTCAAACATACATTCAATATTAAAAGACAGGATGAGTAAAAAATAATATAGTGCATATGTTTAGCAATAAAACATCAATAGCAAATAGTGACAAAACAGAATAAGTAAAATCAAAAACTTTTGAAAACATAATATAATATTAGCAAACATAATTTTATTTTACATTATAACCATAAAATTACAATACGAATATTTATGACTGTTTTAATTTCTTAAATCCACCTTAAAGCAACAATTAGGGCGACTTTACAGAGCAAGTAATAAACATCTGATCAAACACGAGGCTTTTAAAGTCTATAAGCGTCTGATGTTACTGTAAACACCCAGATTTTACAAACTGAGCAACAAGTTTAAATATTCACGAACTGCCTTAAATTACATTGTTTAAATTAATACGTTAATGATTTATATACATTTCTGAAACGCATAACTTAGTTTCCTCTGATAACAGATCACTGTAAATTGTAACGGGGACTCTGTAAAGCTGCTTCGAAACGATGTGTATTGTGTAAAGCGCTCTATACAAATAAATGTGAATTAAAAATACCTGTGCGTTCTCCATTCAGACGACCTGGAGAAGAACTACGACGAGGTCACGGTGAACATGATCATCGCTGTGGTCCAGGCCATCGGCTTCTCCAACTCCTTCAACAACCCCATCGTCTACGCCTTCATGAACGAGAACTTCAAGAAGAGCTGCGTCTCCACGCTGTCCTCTTACCTGAGGCGTCCCGGCCACCAGGGCGGCGCTGTAGAGCGGCCCAATCTCAGCGTGCACTTCTCCAAACACCTCAAAACGGAGGCCTTCAGCAGCAACACCACCAGCGGGAACACAGGAGCCCTGCAAACGCACCAGAACCGAGTGTTGACCTCTTCAAACGCAGATCTGGAGATCTCCACAGCGTTCGCGGAGCAGAGAGGCCAAACCGCTACATCCCAGCTGCCTTCGAGCAGCTCCTGCGTCACATAAACAGAGGATCTCAGACATCGAGGTGTTCTTGGGAACAAAAACCAGCCTTTGAGATAATCTCAACACTGCTGTCAGTCGGATGAGTTCGGGGTTTCAAATCCATGATGGGAGACGCAGACAGGGAAAAAGACGCCCGAGCGCTAGCGCTAGTTAGCATGCAGCACAACTGACTGACCTCACTTAAAGGAGTAGTTCACTTCAGAATTAAAATTCCCTGATAATTTACTCACCCCCACGTCATCCAACATATTCATGTCTTTCTTTCTTCAGTCGAAACGAAATGAAGGTTTTTGAGGATTTTCCTCCATATAGTGACCTTCAATGGGGTCCAACGGTTTTAATTACATGATGATGCAATCACAGCTAGTGCAAGATTAGTGGTTAAAAAGTATATAAATGTTTATTTTTTTTCGAAAATGACCAAACGTATCGTTAAATAAGACTCTTATTCCTCGGCTGGGATCGTGTCGAGACTTTAAAGCTCCAGTGAAACCGTTTGGACCCCATTGAAGTCCATTATATGGAGAAAATCCTGGAATGTTTTCCTCAAAAATCGAATAATTTTCGACTGAAGAAAGAAAGACGTGGACATCTTGGATGACGAGGGGGTGAGTAAATTATCAGGAATTATTATGAAGTAAAAAGACCAGCATCCTCTCAGTATTTACTCCCCATCATGTCCTTTCAAACCCAAAAGCTATTTTTCAGTAGGAATTTTTGAAGATCTTTTGCTTCATAAAACAACAGTTCACATTGAACGCACGTCAAACTGCAATACTAACAGAAGCACAGGACCTAAAAGGACATGGTGATGGGGAAATACTAAACGATATTTCAGTGCATTCTCGGGGAACGCAGTGTTGTTTTAGTATCATAGTATCAATAGCCATGTTCCCATCCAACGATGAGAATTTAACTTGCATTAAACATTTGTGTTTAATTCATAGAGAACAAAATCATCACTTCCTGATGAACTGGTGCCGAATTTCCCCAAAGATGCACATTGATGAATTTATTCGGTAAATGTGTTTCCATCATACTGTAATTTATGTGCATGAATACTAAATTAAGTGTGCGTTATTTTATATGCATTTCTAGAATTAATGCACATTTTGATGTGATATCCCAAAATATCCATAAAAAAGGGAGTGGAAAAATGGCTATTGATTTATTAACATATATGTGATTAAGTAACACATTTTTTTTTTAATCATTTTAGTTTGTTAACTGAACCTCGAAACACAGAATTTCTTTTTTGTAAGTAAACAAAGTTTTTCAGAAAAACACAAAAGTATTTAATTCTATATATATATATATATATATATATATATTAGGACTGCAAAAATTAATTGCGATTAATCGCATCCAAAATAAAAGTCTGTTTACATAATATATTTGTGTGTGCTGTATATAATTATTTTGTATATATAAATACCTATGCATGCATGTATATAGTTAAGAAAATGTGTTATTCAAATATAAAATATTTATATTTATATAATATAGATTATGTATTTATATATATATATATATATATATATATATATATATATATATATATATATATATAAACAGAATTTAAGCACAAATAATTCTTAAATATATACATGCATGCATAGGTATTTATATATACAAAATAATTATATACAGCACACACAAATATATTATGTAAACACAGACTTTTATTTTGGATGCGATTAATCGCAATTAATTTTTGCACAGCCCAAATATATATATATATAGACATGAGGGTAATGACAGATTATTAATTTCTCTTTATGTATAATGCATTATAATGGTATTTATAATGTACACTAATGCACTGCAAATTTAAAAAAAAAAAGGTTTAAATGCATTATAATGTTTTCAGATTATTTCTGAAATTGGTTTTCGTGTTTTAATGCATTACACTTTCTAAAAGTGCAAGAATGAATAGACGAGCCTATTTATGCAATCATACAATACAGTGCATTGCAATTCATAATGCATTAAAAATACCCATATAATGCCTTCAAGTAAAGTGTAGTGAAACTCAGTGAAACGGGGTAACAACACTGTAAATACTCCATTGGCAGCTCTGATCTTTAAAGTCTGTACTTTATAACTTCACTTTGCTCAGATATTATAAAGAAATGCTTTCATTTTATTCTTTCGGAAGCGTTTGTGATGAACAGCTGGGACTGTTAAATGATTCACGCTAATGACGATGTGCTAACGTGTTGGAAACATGGACAGGCTGGAATGTGTTTGTTAAAAAGGTGCGACTCGGTTTTCCCAGAACATCCGTAATAGATTAATGCTCCATTACAGATGCATTTTAACGACACTTAATGTAAATTCTCTGATGGAAAGAACATGAGATCCGTTTTGAGCGGATCACATCTGCAAACTACGGAAGCGTATTGTGTTTATTATAATTGAGTTAATTATCTCAGAATTACAAGATATTTTTTCATGGAAAAAAAATTGTTTGCTCTGTTTTTCTGAATTGATGACTTGATTATCTCAAAACCAGAGCAGAAACTTTTTTCCATGACAAATTCTGTCATAATTCTAAGATAATGAACTTGTTAATTCAGAAAAAACAGAGCAAAAAAAAAAAAAACTGTGTAAAATTATCTTGTAGTTCTGAGATAATGAACTTTTTAATTCAGAAAAACAGAGCAAAATTTTTTTTCCATGAAACACTATCTCGTAATTGTGAGATAATTAACTCGTTAATTCAGAAAAACAGAGCAAAATTTTTTTCCATGAAAAATTCTCGTAATTCTGAGGTAATTAACTCGTTAATTCAGAAAAACAGCAAAAAAATTCCATGAAAAATTCTCGTAATTCTCAGATAATTAACTTGTTAATTCATAAAAAGAGCAAAAAAAAAATTCCTTGAAAAATGTTCGTAATTCTGAGATAATTAACTCATTAATTCAGAAAAACAGCAAATAAAATTTCCATGAAATATTCTCGTAATTCCGAGATAATTAACTCGTTAATTCATAAAAACAGCAAAAACAAATTTCCATGAAAAATTCTCGTAATTCTCAGATAATTAACTCGTTAATTCAAAAAAACAGCAAAAACAAATTTCCATGAAAAATTCTCGTAATTCTCAGATAATTAACTCGTTAATTCAGAAAAACAGCAAAAAAAGTCCATGAAAAATTCTCGTAATTCCGAGATAATTAACTCGTTAATTCAGAAAAACAGCAAAAAAAAAAATTCTATGAAAAATTCTCATAATTCCGAGATAATTAACTCGTTAACTCAGAAAAACAGCAAAAAAAAAATCCATGAAAAATTCTCATAATTCCGAGATAATTAACTCGTTAACTCAGAAAAAGTGCAAAAAAAATTGTGAAAAATGATCTCGTAATTCTGAGATAATTAACTCGTTAATTCAGAAAAACAAAGTAGATTTTGTTTCCTCAAGTGAATGCAATACGCTTCCATAGCAAACCTTCCCTCGATGCGTGTGCGATGAATCCTGATGTCAAACAGCATGTGTGTGTGTGTGTGTTCCCACTCTCAAACATCATCTTACAGATGTGAACTTTCAATAATACACAAAAAAATAAATCAAGTGAAACTCCTGTTTGTTGTCGTAATGTACATTTTATTCACACCTGATACATATTTACAAGACACATGGACGTCAACCATGCAAAAAACAAAACTGCACACTTTAACGCATTAATTACATTTAGTATAATAGATTAATCTTTACTCAATCTTTTTTTCTGAACACAAGTGCCTTATTTAATCTGATCTCAGTCTAACAAGCAGTAAAGAACATAATCTTAAATGAGAATAACAACAGGGCCGAATGTTTGCAGGGATCAACATAAGTCTATTATCCTCAATAGTATAAGAAACATCAATAATCTCAGTCTTGAAGGCGATTCAGTCACTGAATCATCATCATAATCCCTGAAAGCGTGTGAAATGGGGAAGACGGGTCTGGCGAGGCACACAGTGGTGTGAGAGACGTGATGTCACTGCACCAGGGGGATGTGGAAGTCAGGACTGTCGAAGAGCAGCGGCCGGCGGGGGGGACTGGGCTCCTTCGTGGCGCTGTGCAGGAGTTTAAAGAGTCCAGTGCCGATATTCATGGGGATGCCCATTATAATGCACTCGGACACACCTGCAGAACCGACATAATAAATATTCTGACCCAAATATTAATTCATCTTTTTCCACCTCAAATTATGGGGCCAGTTGTTCAAAAGTAAGCTGATCGGATTTTGGTTATCGGATTGGATCAAATCTTGAAAATGGGTTGTTCAAAAGGGAAAGAAGGGATCTGAAATCAGATTAGAATCCTAGTTTTAATCTGGATCAAACCTTCAGTTTGTGTTGTTCAAAACTTGTCAGTGTCAGTGGGATTTGGACAACTTTGATCCAAAAAAACAGGATTATCCTGATCCCAACAGGGGGTAGGATTTCAAGGTGGATTTCAGGAAGAAAATGTAGAAAAATTTTGGTGATCCAGTCCACTGTTGCTTTGAAAAACCGGCATAAAAGTACGACAGATTACCTGATCCTGGATAGGAAAAAATGGGATTTCCAAATCCAGATTAAATGTTTTGAACTACTGGCCCATTGTGATAAGAATTAAGCCTGTTTTAGGACCTTATTTGCACTCTTATTTCTCATTTATTCTTTCTTTATAAATAAAATATAACACACACACTGCGACCCTGGACCAGAAAACCAGTCACAAGGGTCACATTTTTAAAATTGAGATTTATGCACCACCTGAAAGCTGAATAAATAAGCTTTACATTGATGTATTGCGTGTTAGGATAGGACCATATTTGGCTGAGATACAACCATTGAAGATCTGAGGGTGTAAAAATATCCAAAATCTCCTTTAAAGTTGTGCATTTGCTGCATCCACTACAAAAGTTATTTTTTATATATATTTGCATTAGGAAATGGAACATGATCTTTACTTAATATCCTAATGACTTTTGCATAAAAGAAAAATTGATAATTTTGACTCGCACAGTGTGGTGTTAACAACCTGCAATTGTGAATGCTAATTAATATGACAAAATACAAAAAGCATAACAATCAGCAAACAATCAAGAAATGATAATCTACAACTGTAAATACTAAACATGACAAATAAATAATGTATAGCCTAACAAAAATAAGCTATCTATCTATCTATATATCTATCTATCTATCTATCTATCTATCTATCTATCTATCTATCTATCTATCAAT